ACAACTCAATTAACACTGTTAGCAGCCAGCCTTCAACGCATGCAATCCGAAATAGTGGACGTACTTACTGGAATTCGCCACCGTACAATAAGCCCAACATTGATTTCTCCCGATCAATTAAAGGAACAATTGGATCAAATACGGGATCATTTGCCGCCAGATCAAATGCTACCAGTAACATCATCTGACGTTATTCACCTGTACAGAATTATGCGAGCAGAAGGCACAGTCACCGACACTCATGTAATATTTAGAATAAGACTACCACTAGTGTCAACATCAATATTAGAACTTTTCAATATTGTGCCGATTCCGATGTGGGACTCAACAAGCTGGCGACTATTTGAGCTTAAAACACCTATTATAGCTGTAAACAGCCACAGGGATCAATTCATGGGACTCACAACAGATGATCTACAACGCTGCCGAACATTACCAAATGAAGAATACATATGCTTTGACCATCAAGCTATGTTTAATGTTAATAATCGTTGTGAGTTTCATCTTTTTAACAACAAAACACCAACAATGTGTCAAGTATCTCAGAGAGCAACCAAAATGATATGGTCAAAAACACACCATCCTAATAATTGGATCTTTGCAACGCATTCTGTAATGGAACTACAAGCCGTATGCAACGGAACCCCGTCTACTATACAACTGATGGACACCGGACTCCTATCGCTGTCAACAGGTTGTACTGCACGCAACTCAGAAATTAGCATCAGTACTTTCAACATCATTATAAGTCATGTGAGAAAGGGCTATGCTCATTTTGGCAACATAATCGAGCCAAACACGACTCAAATCAACATATCAGAGAACAAATTACAAGAAGATAAGGATCTGGATGACTTGCAGCTAACATTGAACGCACTCAACAAACAAGAGCTGCCAGACCAAATAGGTTCAGTACAACATCATCATATCGCGCTTATGCTGTCTTAGAAGTATCCGTCTTTGTGCTACTTGCCTGTACACTACGGAAGCAACGCTTTTGGACCTTGCAATCAACAGCTACAAGGAATGAGGCTGCCATTACACCCGTGCCATCAGCATCCCCAAGACGATTCACACTGGATCTAGATGATGGTTGATCACCGATTCAACGGCCGGGAGAATGTTTAGATTAATTTAAATCATAAGCCAGTTGTACGCTGCAGATAGCGCAGCGTACACAGCAAATAAAGTACACCCAATCCATGGGTTGCGATAAGAAATATGTTCACACCATCTGTCGAGCGGCCTGCACTTAGCAGAGAGCAGCTCAGTCAGCGTCGTAAATAAGATCATTTTAAGACATGTTATCTGTGCACGCATAGGTGACCATTGATTGTTTAGGTCAACCCGCAGATAGCATAACTAGTCCTAAGCAAAAATTATCTTCGAAAATTTCTGTATATAAACGATGCATTTTTTCTTCAATAAAGTGAGTGTCTTTTGGAGTGTCTTCAGAGTCTTAGCACATACAAGTCTACTCATTCATTTCTACCATCGCATACACTGTGCGCAACGAAGGACCTCCCTCTCCGTAAGTCCAACTAGTTACAAGTGCTAGTTGCGACGCCTTTTAGTAGTCAGTTTATGTGCTGACTGCTTCCCTTCAAATATACACAAACAAAATTAATTATTTAAAGATGTCAACATGTGTAAACACTTTCTCTACACTAACGAAGGAGGAAGAAGCATGGTTGTTTACATACATATGTCATTCTGAGCATTTCGTCTATCGCTCTTCGCTCTATGCTTCGGCATATGTTTGTAAATCAGAAATGCGAGAATAAAGAATTAAAGATAAAGCAGGACAAAACCAGCGAGTGAAGAGCACCGCAACTGACCACAAGAAGGTAGCGTATCGTAGGCTCTCACTCATGCATGTATTTGTATATGCATATATGTGTGTGTGTGTTTTAGCCTTGTGTGTGTGGAATATATAAGAGACGCTTGGTCAAATAAACAGCTCAGTTTCTTATGAAATTTCTTAATGAGCACATCTTGACCGGAGCGAGAGAGGTGATCAAATTTCAATTAGATTGCGATAAGAACTGAACAATTATGGAACACGAATTCGTAAGTTAGCTCAATATTGATGTCATGCTAATTGCATTCAATAATTGTAATTAAACAGGTGCCCAAAAGTCCGACGTCCACGCTCTGTGAAGACGAGAGTGACGATGGTAACAACGCAAAGCTCTTGGGTCCAATCCATCCGCCAACACCTTTCACTGGTGGTCAGCCATTTAATGGGAACGCCAATGTAAGCACATCGCCGTTACTTCTGGCAACGCCGCCACTCTCCCCACTGGACATGAGTGTCCAGAACCCGAATATGCCAATGGCCTCGGCGATGCTGTCCTCGAATTATTCGTCGCTATATCCACCAACTGGCTATATACGGATCATACCTTGCTTTGTGTGCAGTCAGCTCTTCACTGACATTGTGCCACTGAGCAAGCACTTGCGAATGCATGCCACGCAAATATTGCACATGAATTCTACGAATGCTCCAACACCAGCCACAATTGAAAAGAACAGCTTAAATTTGGGACTACCTACAGCTATGTCTACTCCAGTTCTTCCCGCTCCAGTTAATCCTATTCCAGCGACGAGTGATGAAAGCCCCCCAAACGCATCGCCTTTCAAATGCGATTACTGTCGCAAGGTGTTTAAGAACTCGATGTCGCACAGGGTACATCAGAGGCTGCATCGCCTGCCATCGCTAAGCGAGGATAGGTTGGGGTACAAGAGGCAATTCAAGTGCCACATTTGCAGGAAAAGCTACGTGCGAGAGACCTTTCTGCAGAAGCACATTGAAGCAAAGCACAGCCGATTTTTGGGACCTGTGCGGCAGCTTCCCACCCAGGTGGAGTCACAGGGTCATCTGGCGGCAATAACAGGGCCTGCGTCGCCACCGCCGGCGAACGCTGATATTGAGCCAAAGAAAATCTATACTACCAGATTGGCAAATGCCGTTGCAGCGGCTGCATACAATCCAGCAAGAGAAACAGCCTCGAAATACATTCCGCCAACGGTAGTTGGCCATCAGCAGGTGGATTCCTACTCACAACTACCACCGCAGCAGAAATATGTCCCTCGTTCGCCCTACTTTAATCCGTATGTCCTTAAAATAATATATATAATTCCGATTTGCTATTGCTAAAACATTTATTTTGATTTTGCTTTTTCTAGGAATCTGTGGTTTTACGAGGATTACGTATAATTCCTAATAATTTTGTTTCTTATCGCAAGCGAGAGAGCAACCCGTAATTCGCAGCTAGGCTGTTTAAAACATCTAAGTGCTCTTAATTGATGCATATATGTATCAAATACATATACAGATAAGAACGTAATGATTTGATGAAAAGCTGATAATAAGAAGCAAAAACATTTGAACCGAGTTCAAGCAATAACAAATATCAAACGTTTTAAGCTCACAAATGTCACAAGTTGTCATTCTTTCAATCCCTACTGTTATATACAATCTGATGTATATAATAAGTGAACCAAAGAAGCTGAGTTGGCAACATGCCTGACTGGGAAAAACCAGATTGCTGATAATGCTTTTATGGCATAGCAATTCCGCTTGGGATTTGGCAAACGGCGACCTGACCAAATAATAAACAAACTGCTCGAATCCAAAAATGAAATTTAATCGGGTTTCGGCGCTCATATAAACATCTGTATTATTGAATTCGCTTCAGTTGAACAAACGACAAGCTCTCGATCAATTTACATTGAATGGTGGAACTGTTTTGTGATGGCTTAGTAAGTAAAGTTAAGTTAATTTATTTTTTGGTTTTATTGTTAACGAATTAATGATATGAAGTAAAGAATATAAGTTTTTATTTAACAACTTACTTTCTGTTTTATTTCTGGTCTGACGAGAGACAATTTTTATTAGAATATATAGTAGATCTTAATGATATAAAGGGGTTTAAAGCTATGCCAAAGTATATACGAAGGAAACATTTCTGACAGCATAAGTATTATATATTCTTGATCCGCATATATATATTCGTCCGTCTGATATCAGACAGATCCAAAGGCTAAAGACATCAAATTTTGAAAATTATCTCCCATTATGGGAGATAATGGAATATGGATTATGGGAGATAATGGAATATGGATAATGGATATGCGGAATTTAATTAATTTAATCGATAATTCTTACTTCTAAAAATGAATAATATTTTAAGAAAAGATCCGACGTGCGCAGCAGTAAATTACGCAGAATAAATAAAACCAAAAATATAAATATTGCAGGGGCTAGCATTGATCTCCTTCTGTAGATAATAAGTGATCGCTGTTTGCTATATAAGGCTACTATTTTAAGCACTAAAATCAGTTCACAGTTGCAACTCGACTCTGCACTTACTGATTAAAAAATAATAATGAAATGAACTAAATCTTTTGATGATGCATGTCCTGTGGCATAACTTTTCAATTTAAAACTTCTGGAATTCATATTGTTTCGAAATATTAGTCATGTAGTATCAAATGGCCTGCTCAGAGTTCAAACTCTCAAACATACTTATTTAAATGCTGACGTCTTACAATTGCACTTTGCCTTAAATAATGCTTACGATCGCATTTCATTTGAAATGCATTGCTGCACTGCATATTGAATAGTATAATGAAATATTCTTGCTGTGTTTTCCAAACAGCAATTGTGAAATGTGCCTCAAAATCTCGGCAGGTAGAGTCAGAATGTCCAATCGAAGATATTCATAGAAACAAGGCAAATATAATCTTAAAGCGAAGGGCAAATTTTTATAGACAAGTGTCAGGCCTTTATTGGTATTTATGTATTTTGCCCGAACGTGTTAAGCAGCGTGTTCTATTTTCTCTGGTGTAAAAAACACGCATATATATATATATTCAATATATATGTTTATATATATACTCTCACTCTCTCTCATGTACGCATGCAGGCAAACACACCCTTAAAGATCTTTTGAATCGTTTTTGAGCTCGGTTTTGTTTAGCCGAGTCCCGCAGTCTTATTTCTGACCGCGTCAGAGACAGTTGTGAGAAAGGAGTGCCGCAAATAAAATTATAATTACAATAGCCAATTGAACTTGTAGTTTATACATTTTCTAAGCGCTCATTATCAAGATCATGCCATATTTGTACAATAAATACGTACGTTTTGTGTAATTAGACGAGTAACTAATTAATTATTTATAATTATGAAATACTTGAACTTTGCAGTTGGAAGCAGTAAATATTTTGAATAAACTGTATTCGGAGCCACATTGTAATCAAAATACCATTGAGACTAAAGATGATATCACAATTGACTTGATGAATGATTGTGAAGAATGGGCTATCCAATGTTTTCTATGCCAGGAGCTCTTTACTGACATCGATGAGTTGGAGAAACATTTCCTAATACACTGCACAGAACACGCGGAGTGCATAACGACACAACTCCTCAATTGTGATGTATGCGGAAGAAAATTACGTTCGGAATCAGAGTTAAATAAGCACCATAAGCGCTTCCATGCGGCATCTATGTGCAAAATATATAGAAATCGTATAAAAATGGCAAAGAACACAGAAAAGGAAACAACAAAGCCCTCTTATTCAGAGCCGAAGGAGTTTTTGGCAACGATTGCTGGCCCACCACCGAGACAGAAATATCCACCGCATTCGCGATTCTTTAATCCGTAAGTTTTGCTTATTAATTTGCCTTCATTCTTGATCACGTTTTAATCTATTATTGTAGAAACATAATGACAGATTGCGATGCGTATGTATGTTTGGATATGCTCAGGAATTAAACTGCTGGACTTGGTGAAGTGCCTTAACAATAACAGCATTTAATTTTAGCAATTTTGTTTTAATTATTATCCTACAACGATAGTACCAAGATTTGCAACTGGCAACAATGCTAGAAGTTCGGCGCTTAGCCGCAATACCAGGCTTAGATTCACTGGCAATATTGCCAGTGACTGGCATGGTGTTTACATATGTGTTTATTATGGATTTAATTGGACTGTCAATCGCGTAGCCACTGTACACACTGGCAATAATAACAGTATGGTTCCATTTTTTTCTGGGCTGCCATTAAAATTTTAGCTCATAATTTGTAATTCTGCACCCTACTTTTTGGATGACTAATAAAGATTTAAAAAAACATTGCACACTTTCAGGAAGACTCAAAATTGGATGTGTGCTCACAAAATGTCAAATAAAAAACCTACTTTTAGGGTGACAAATAAAATCACAATTGAAATATATTACATTTTAAAGAATTTTTAAAGCATACCTTACTTAATAAAAAATAATTTTAATTTAAAAATATCCTTCCTTTTTTTTCCGGGTCGTTACGATCAATCAAACCAACTCTATTGATTATTATTCAAGGTTAGGGGGATCATCTAAGAACCAAATACTTGAAGGTCAAATAAAGCGGGCCAATAGCCCAAAAATAGCTCGAGTACTTTTTGGCTTGACCAAGTCCAGGTACTGAAAAATCGATAGGAAGTTAATAAATGTATATATTTTCTAGAACCATAAGAACTTGTTCGAGATACTTTACACTTCAAAAATGATCTGTGCACAGAATGTGTTGCATTATTTAAAATTTTATTTTTGCTTTCTATGTGTATTGTATATGTATATAATATTTTATTGTACATTATACGTTTATTAGTTTCGCTCGGTAGCTAATACATTTCAATGACATAAATTGAATATTCGCTATTCCTCGAATCGTACAAAAGGTTTCAACTATGTACTTTGCATGTATTTCTTGAATTACCTAAGTGATTTTCTTTTCATTTTTGTGTAGATGTCTTATGTATAACGTATTTATTTTGTAACTTAAAAGAAACATTCCTTAGCAGTCCAATGCATTTCCACACAATACCAGCTATATATCTACTGTTCCCAATACAAACATTGAAATAAGTTGGCTAACTACATTACAATGAGCTAACTGGCAATTAGCTCCACACCATCGTTTAGTCAATCCAATACCTTATAGATAAGTTTGTAAAATTATTATTTGGAAAATAAATACTACAGAAAACAGCTAACGCAAAGGTTAAATAAAAGCAATAACAAGCAAGCAACAAAATGTTATTGAAAACATATCAAGTTGTAGGAAAAAAATAGTATATAATTTAAAGCTTTGTTTTCGAAAAACGCAAAGCACATGTGACTAAAAAAAATGTACAATTTGGGTTTGTTGCTAGAATAAATAACTTGGTTCGTCTAACTAGTATTTGCAGGCTATAAGGACTAAAATATTGTGACAGCATTTTGTCTTTTGTTTTTTTTTTTAATTATCGATTTTTAATTATTTTTTTTTAATAATTTTTTTTTGTTATTTTTTAGTGCATCAAATCAACAAATAAATAAATACACGCACTTAAAAAATTATCTTTTCAGAGGAGAACGACTATCTAGTTTTTCGTATGTTTTTTCGACTTTTGCACTTGGTTCTCAAGTTCTTACTCATTTATAATATATTCAACATTCTTTTGTTCACATGCCTTATGCATTTAGTTTTACATATTTTTGTTGTGTGTTGTTTCAACTTGCAATGTGTTTGTTATATAAACCTTTGCTGGTTGCAGTCGCTCCCACTTTTTTTTCCACTGCTGTCTGCCTACTTATTAGTCACCAGAGTTTTTGTTTTTGCTTTGAAAGTTTGAAGAAACTCGTATTTATGTTGTATACAATAGTAGTAGGATTTGCGACTTAAATACTATTTAACCTGAGCCCGAATGTGTTGCAAAAATTCATAATATGACAAACTAGATTCACTGCGATCGTCCGTTAATCTTTCAATAAACTGCGCCTTCGCCGTGCTCGTATCCCTTTATGAGAAGAAGATTATAATTAATATGAATGAAGTTGTTGTTATTAGTTCAAGTTTTAAGAGCAAATAACTTACCTGATAATTTGAATAATAGGTGCGTAGGGCTTGTCGTAGTTCAGCCGAAGTATAAAACGCTTGAGCGCATCATTCACGGCGGTGACAACGTTGGGCAAACCATAGACATAATCGGGCAGTTCCGTCGTGGACCGCATGCCTGCCAATAATAAGCATTTATATCAAAGATTTGCTTTTATATATGTATATATGTTTTAACTTACCCAGCATATCTTTCAGTACATCAGTGGGCACATTCATGCCCACATAGAGCATTATCACTGTGCCGCAGTCCATCAGGAATATCGAACGCGAATCCAGACTGCAAGGCAAATATATTTTATTATAATTAGTGAATATTTAAATGGAAATTTTAGGTGTAAATCTCACTGTTCCGCTGATAGTTGCAAGCGTGGAATTGATGGCAAAAGCTCATCGTCATCATCATCGTCATCTTGCGGTGTGCTCAGATTGGAGTTGCGCACATGGCTGACAAGCGCATCCAATTTGTATAGCTCGGGATAGATGAATTTCATGAGCTGATCCAGCGGCAGCGTTTTCATGCAGTCCATCGCATAGACACGATCATCGAGGCGCGTGCTGGTTCCCACGCGAAAAGCGGGCTAGCAACAAGAAACACTGTCAGCTACACTCACAGCCAATGGTTGCGCTCAATACTCACGTGCTTAAGCAGCGCCAGAATATAGAGCGGCAGCAGCGCCAGACTGCGTGGTGCTATCAACTGTCCAGACTGGCCGGAGGGAAGATTTTGTGCAATCTTAAATGCATTATACACGTCGATGGTTGCATTGATGAAAGCGTCTCGCGCATCCGACAGATTCGATGCTATCGAGCGATCCACTGCCATTTTTGAGAGTAAGGACACTATGGCTTCCGTATCGGCCGAATGCATCACTTCGGGCAGGGAAGCGGTCACTGGCAGGCACACAGTATGGACTCGGATGCGTCGCTCACCCTCGCTGTTCGTATAGAGTAACGCCGCCTGGAAGCAGATGGTCTTCACATCGGTCAAGTTCTCCTCGTACGATATTTGCATGCCATAGCCGGCATCCGGATTGACATTGGGCAGCGACAATAGATCCGTGCTGCGCACAAAGAAGTTGCCATGGAATGTGTGCACCTGCAAGCCGCGTGTGCATCGGATGCGCATCACTGCTTCAAAGCCAATCTTGCGGGTCAGGTAGCGTTTAAAGCACTCCTTAAACGAATCCACCATATGCTGCTTAGTCTTCTGATAGAGCGGAAAGTGATGCACACAACCACCGCTATGTTTGCTTATCCCCGCTGAAAAATACGGTTATCATTATTATATATGTGGAAGAAATAGAAATCGAAAAGATAGAAGTCAACGGATCAGACTTACATATGGTGGCCATATCGCTATACTGTTGATTCATCAGAAACAGATCGACTGCAATCTGATAACCGGAACATTCCAGAGCGTAACGTTTGTAGAAATCTGTCGATGGATTCAAATGCGCCACATCCTTCGATGAGCGATTGTTGGGATCCTCGCGCGCCTCCAGCGCCCCGGGTCCCTTGTTTGGAAGGCACGCTTGAAAGACGGATATTCGACCGCCTGATGCTTGCTGCAATTGATAATTTTAAATAGTATAGTTTAGATATTTCCGTTAGTACTGCTGCTGAGGAGCGGACTCACCATCAGCTTGAAGGCCACCTGGAGGGCGGCACCCAGTGCCGAACCCGGATCATGGGTGTGGGCGAAACGTTTGGGCAGCTGCTTGAGCAGATCCTTCACCAGTTCCTTGCACTCCTTGAGGTTCACCAGCAAACTGTCTGGGCGCGGCAAGAATGGATCATCAATGTCCAACAGGGTCATTTCATGCGGTTGGTTTAGACCCTCAGCCATGCTGTAGAAGTGCACAAAGCTATCGTAGCATATGAAACCCACTTGGGTGCGTGCATCGCCCGGCATCTCATCCAAGTGGCGATTAAGCGTAGCGCAGGCGGCCTCCAGATAGCCGCTCTGTTGCGCAATGATCGACACATCGAAGAGGAATAGATACATGGCCGGCTGTGGTGGACGCAACATATACTCCGATGGCGCAATAAACTCAATGGTACTCGACCGCACCTCCGGTCGTCGTGTCACATCGCCATAGGTCTTTGTAGCCGGATCAAACTGGAAGTCCTCGGGCACTGTAGAATTTCATTGTGATTAATTCAATTAATACAAATTCTGTCGATGATTGAGGCTAAACTTACGCTCATTAACGCGATAGCAGAGATTACATTTCCACATTTTGCTGTCGACAAAGTAGACAAAAGGATTTATATAGGTGCGGCACAAGCGGCAGCGTACAATGTTGATGCACTGTATCACGGGCAGACTCTGCAATTGAAATTGTTGAAAGTCAACGAATGCAAAGTTATTTAAAAAAGAAATGGAAAGTGAGGCTTACGTTGACATCGCGAAATGGATGAATGACGATGCCAAGCGGCAGTCGCGACTTCTGCAGCAGCGAGTTGCTCTCCGGGATTTTGGCCAGTGTGCAGCGCATTATGCTCGGGTTGCAGTTGATGGACTCGTGGAACTGATTGTGCAGCACAATTTTCGGTGGCTCAATCGTTGCCGGCGAGAGAATGTGCCGGTGTTGTGTCAAATCGATGGTGTCCTGACCCCATAGCCGGCTGAAACCCTGCTGGGCAATACTTAGCGGTTGCCCCGGTGCCTGACCTTGGCCTTGATACTGCAGCGGAGCATTGCTGGGCAGCTGCTGTCCGCCAAACATGCCCGGAGGTGGTAATTGTTGTTGTTGCTGCTGCTGCTGGGGCGGCATTGCCTGCGCAAAGGCTTGCTTATAGGGATATTGCTGTGGTGGCTGCGCCTGCTGCTGCTGCTGTGTGCTTGGCGGCGGCCCAAACGGCGGCAGTTGCACCTGAGATGGTACAGTTTGACTGGAGGGCATAAATGCCTGCTGCGGTGTCGGCTGCAGTACTCCAGCCATACCAGGCAATGTCGCAGCGGCAGCTGCAGAAATTGGTGGCTGCCACGGTGGCCGCTGTGCTGTCGGCGGCGACAATGCAGCAGCTGCTCCACGCTGCGCATTATTGTTTGTCTCCGCTGAAGTAGGTGCTGCTGCAGGTGCTGGTATACCGTATGCCAGTTTCTGTCCAGCTGGCGGCATTGGTCTATTCGCCAGCTTTGGCGTTGCTGTGGCGCCACTCACGCCAAAAACACTCGCTGGATTCTTATTGCCGGGCACAGCAGCACTGAAGGGCACACCCATCGGATTTTGTAGGGCAGGCGCCACGCCACTCGATGACAGCAATGTATTTGCCCCACTCGTGTCCAACTGACGCACCTGGCCAGCCAGGCCCACAGCTACGCCACGCGCATCCTTGCGAGCATAGCTTGGCGTCGTTGCGTTGCCAATGCCATTGCTGGGCGACATGCTCATGCTTTGCATACTGCTTGTCAAGTTGCTCACCTGGCTGAAGGGTGGCAGCGATTGTTGTGATCGTGGTGGCTGCTGTTGTTGTTGTTGGGAACTCAACTGACTGCTCGGTGGTTGTTGAGGCGGTAACGTGGCGCTCAGCTGCCCAGTGGCTTGCTGTTGAGGCGGCAACTGACTGATCGGCTGCTGACCCATAAATGGCGACTGCTGTGGCAACAGTCCCTGTTGATGTTGCAACGGAGCTGTAGGCTGCTGCGGCTGCTGAGGCATCTGCTGCTGAGGCATCTGCAGCTGAGATGGCTTCACTGTCATACCCAGGGGACCAGGAACAAGCTGCGGCCTGGCTGGCATCGTTATTGGTGGTGGTGGTGCTCCCAATTCCGCTGAAGCTAGACTAACCGCGATATTGTTGTTGATCAAACCGGGCGATGCTGTGCGCGAGGAGTTGGCGCTCAGTGCGCCATTGCTGCCATTGGATACAGAAATTGAGGCGTTGGCGGAGGCAGAGAGGGAGGGTGCGGTGGCAGGTCCGTTTAGCATGCTGGGCGGTCGCAGATGAGCGGGCAGATTACTTAGCGGAGCAGTCGCCGCTGCCGCCATTGGACCATTGCTCAATGGTGGCGGCAAAAACTTGTTCATTACATTGCTATTGAATTGAGGCGGCGGCGGCGGCAGCTGTGCAGCCGGCCCAGTGGGCGTGGCATTAATGGGAAACTGCGCTGACTGTTGCGTTGCTTGGAATTGCGCTGGATTTGGCAGGGAAGGTGCCAAGGGTTTCAACGGCTGATATTGCTGATAAAGCTGCTGCTGCTGTTGTGGTTGCTGTTGTGGTTGTTGTTGTGGCTGCATAGGCTGACCATTGAGCAGGCTGCCCTGGTTGCCATTTGGTGGAGCTGGCGTAAAACTTGAATTATATGCTGACATTCTGCGCGTTGCACTTTTAATTCATGGGATGCACCTGAAACGACAAAAAACACAATCGAGAATAATGCGATAATTAATGCTAATTTTTTACATCGATTAATCCGAATTAATGTCAAGTGCACTACTCTCTCCTACGTGAAGGCCGTCCCTAGTAAATGACTACTATTTTGGTGTTGTAGTGTTTTATCTTATCAGTTCAAATGGTGAGTCAGCATTGAGCCAAACGTGCTCAGATAACAATAATAACAGACGCTTTTCAATTGTCATTGCCAGATTTTGTGGGCCAGATATGAACTACCGTTCATAGTACCCACTTGCAGAGGTACTATAAAAAATTATGTAAAGTTATGTATTTTGAAGTTGTTTAACAATAAATTAAATCCCACACATTTTTGGCTGTTTTTATACTATTTACATTTGGTTTGGTTTAAAGATAATAGTTAATTCATGTTGCATGTACATATTTATTTATACAGTAGGTTTCAAAGCTGACACAATTTTCTAGTTTTCTAGGCCATTCATGTGAATAACATCTATTATCGAAATCAATAACTGAAATATCCAAATGAAGTATATAGAAACCACTCCAGCACCCACCTCTCTCGTCTAACAACCAATCAACTCAAATAACACCCAAAACGTATCGAGTCAGCTATAAATGGGTGTTTATCTACTACTATGCAAACAACAATTTCCAATTACCAAATGAAGCTGAATGCCAATCATGGCAATAGTATTTATTTTATTTCTATATTTCCTTTGTAAAGAATGTGTGGAGCCAAATGCTTTTCATTTTACACACTGCGAACGCGAACAAAGCATGACAAATTTACTTCAATAAAGTCGCCCGACTTGATAAAGAGTATATTGAACTGGGAATGAGACAAATTGGAAGAGCTTAAGCTCAGCTTGCTGCAGCTGCTACTGCTGCTGCTGTCGCTGCTTTAGTTGATCTCTCAAAAAGCTCGCAACAACAACGAAAATGGGGGAAAAAAGAGCTGTGCTTTATTATGCTTTATCAACTGTAATTGGCCATGTGATAATGCCAAACTATTTGGGTGACGTCGTTGCCGGGCTGCGGCAGCATGCATGAACACTCATGCCTATTCCATTATTATTTGAAGCTTACCTTTCTTGTTGTTTGTCAATGCTGCCAAACTGATGGGTTCGCTGGAAAAAGGGCGTTGGAACGTGTGTGAGCCAGTCCGTGTATGTGTGTGTGTCTCTCTCTGTGTACTTGACCAGCACTTGCACTTTGTAGTTGGCTCTGCTTCTTCTATGCTCGTTAATTGACTGCTGTGGCATGCATACAGTTTTCACTGCGTTTTCGCCCAATATGTTTCTTGCGTTGTTGCAGTTGCAGCAAGCGCTTTGTTAGCAATTCCTTTTGCAATTTGCACGCAATAAGACAAATTTTGGTTTTTTTTGCTGCTGACAATGAACGGCGCTGCCTTGCGGGCCTCGACCTCGTATCACACTTCCACACACACAGAAATCACTCAAGCTCTCTGTTTCGCACTCGGAGTGTTCGCGCTTCCACCACTAATGGTTAATGCGTTGATGAAGCAATCCGTTAACAGCGTTCCAGCACCGATTTACCGTTTAATTTAATGAATCAATTGCGTGCAAAAGTATTCGCATTGCAATTTCAGCCTCTTAATACACCTAAACACTAAAATTTAGAGCCACGTCAATTTTTCCAATTAGCTGGCACCACTAACAAATGTCAAAGTGGCAGTGTTGCCACCGCTTGTGAACTAGGTTCAAATGAACAAGCGCCTTGGCGCGTAACTGACACATCTCAAAATTGGAACTAAATGTTATGTATTTTTGAGCTAAGAACAATTTTTATTTAAAATATTCGTATAATGACAGATTTAAATTCGAATTTGAATATTATACAGATAGTCGTAAAAATAGAAGTTGTTTAATTTAAGCGACTGTGTGGATTAAAAACCCGTTGCTGGTGTATATTTAACTATTTTCAACAGTGTAAAAGCGTAATATTCTTTATTCGTTTCATTTTGCGTTAACTTTGCGTGAGAGTATTCGGTAGTTTACAAAGAAAATTGCTTTGCCGTGTAGTTGTTGAAATGTTGACCAAAGGCCAACTAAATTATATGCTAACTATTGTTAATACTATAATTTGATATTTGTCATTTTTTTCCTTTTATTACTGTATACTGACAATTCGTTGGAGAGTTGTTTGCCGGTTTTGTAAGTAAAGCTTTCTTCTTTATTATTATTGTGACAGTGGAATTGAAAACATATATGTGTTTAATACTAAAGTTATCAATATTTTTTGTTTTGTTTTATTTGACAAAATCAATTGTGCAGATTTAAGTTTTAAAAACAGGAATTAATTATTAATAGTATGTATCTATTAGATATCTTTTGTATTGTATTTCGTCTATTAGTCTTTTTTAAAAAATAGAATTTCTATGCTTAAATCTCTATCATTTTGTAATCTACAACTTTCTGATATACATATCGCATATGTTTGTGTGTTTGTGTCTGTATCTGTGTGTGTGTGTGTATGTGTGTATGCATAGGTATTGTTTTAGGTGTTCTTTGTTTGCAGTTTACTGCGATTGCCTTTGAAACACGCTAGTATTAATATTGTTGTTAATTAATAATAAGTTGCTTTATACGAATATGTTGCGTTAGAGACTATTAAAGTGTTTTGCTCTGTAAATTTATATATATCTTTATATATATATATATAATATTGTATGCAATGCAGTTTATTATATTCATCGTTTGTCAACCATTTTTTTATGTGCTTACGTTGTCTTTCAACTATTGTTGTTGTTGTTCAACTGTCTACTTAAACTTGGCGTTTGATTTGTTGTTTACAGTATGTGTATAAACTATTTACATTTAATAAACGGACAATATGATGGTTTCTTAATCGCTTATCTCATATCTCATAATTCAATATACTCGTAGAACATTAAGTTTCCTGCATTTGTTACGTTGTATCATCGTCAGTGTTCAGGGGTATTTTGCGCACTTGTGGAAATTATACAATAGTTGAGGCTCATTCTTGATATGAATCGCACATATCACATATGTATATATACATACATATACTGATATATGTTGGCATTTGTTGTTACCATCCAATTCATGCATTATCTTTTGGCCTCCTTTTCCTGCAAATACATTCGCTGGCTCAACGGCTTTGTATATATCCAATTATCGCCAACGGGCTTAAAGTGCTGCGAATAATTAAAAAAAAACTCCTTTGTTAAAAATATGTACATAATTATGGAATAATTTATACATTACCTTATGATCCCAAGCCAAGTCGTATTCCTTGCGGACCTTGGCCTGATCACGCTGCTGCTGTTCTACAACAAATTTGGCATTGGTGGCACGTTCAATATCATTGAATCTATTCATTATATAGTTAAAGACAAAAATATTGAATATTAATTCATTGCGCATAATAATTCATGCAGCTAGTCAGTTAGATATATGTTTATGAAATGAGCATTTTACTTGAGTCCCGCCGTCACTTCCTTCCAAACACGTCGCGATTCATATTCATCCTGCTCAACGATTGGTCGAACTTGTTTCTTAAATATTGGTATGCGATTAACGTCGACGAATACTTCGGTTTTCTAGAAAATTAAAGATGTACGTGGTAGACATCATTTACATAACATAACATAAGCACAGTACACACACAACATCTACACAACACTATGTATAGGGAATTTCAAAACTCGAGCAGGCAGTTAGTTTAGTATTGGTTTTGATTTGAGGTTTAATTTTCTAGATAAACAAAGTAAACACACATTGAGAAATGTGGTCCCAAACTATTTAAGAGAAAAGTACAATTATCGCAAAAAGTAAATTGGAGCAGATTAAAGAGAGATGATAGATAGATGGATAGGATATACAAATATATAGATAGATAGAATGATAGATAGATAGGTAGATACATGGATATAGCTGCCAACTCGTGGTGTTGTTTGTTGCAGCATTTTAGACGCACGGGTTCAGAAAGGATAGCCAAAATACGGGTGTAAACTTTAACAAATACGTTAGCAGAAATATAGTTAATACACAACGCTACACGAGAAATACAACTTAAGTCTCAATGATACATGCCAGTTGCAACTTACATTCTTATCATGCCACTTGGCCTCCATCAAACCGCTCCACTCGCCGGCAATCGAAACAAATGGTTTCTTATCATGGGGCGAATAAATCTGAAACAAATAATGGAAATAATATAGAAGGTGGTAATATAAATTTGAAGTAAACGCACCTCAGCGCTGACTTTGTTGCGCTTGCCTCCATAGAAGGGCTTTGTGAGAAACTCCACGTTGGCGTAGTAGCCCGTTTGTGGGCATTTAATCTCAACTGATCCGCCCAGCTCAATCCAAGGCACCGTTAAAATAGACCTGTGCATACAAAGACAATTAATTATTCAGCACTTGATTTGCAATTGCAATCGAATCATCTTCCTTACCTGCCATAACCATTGGGAAATGTAACAATATACTCCTCGCTGCGATCCACCAGCGTTACAACGCCCTCGCCAATGTTGTGCACACCAATCGAAAGACCCAAGAATTTTGATTTAGTCCAAACGTGAGCGGTAAATGTAATTTTCTTATTATAATGCTCCGCATAAAAGGCTGAAACTGTCCAGAGAGTAAATAAACCATTAGTTAAGAGGTCGATGGTCGCTCGGCTCAGTTAACCCACTTGGCGGATGATGCGACACCTGCTCGGCTAAAAACGTTAGCTGATCCCGCCTGCACCAGGGCACGGGACCATCCCGCACCTCCTGTCCGTCTTCGGATTCATCTGGTAAACAAACAATAGATTATAATTTACACAACTTATTCCTGTCTCTAACTAAACCAGCAAATGAGAAATAAAAAAAGTATGCAAGTCATAATTAAATTTAGTTGTATACCTGGAATATCCCAGTGACACTGAAATACTTCGCCTAGTATGGGATTGTAGGGCTTTTTGGCCACCGCGCTCTTACGTCCGGCATGATAAGCGCTCAAATACCAACGACAAACCTGCACAATGCGGTCACGTGGATCGTCAAAATCCGAGATTCTTCAAATAAGTGAAACATAATTATTACTTGCAATTCTTGTAAAATGGTGAAAAGAAACGCACTTGAGAAACAAATCGGGATGGGCAAAATAATCGGCATACATTTCGAGTAGTGAACGGCGCTCCAATATGAACGTGGGCAGCACCACCTTGGTGAGATCCATGCCAATCTTCACCTGTGACAACAGATGCGTTATCATTGAGCCATGCGCCTCCATGCTGAGGTCCATCTCCTCCTCCTCCTCGTAGAGGGCATCGTAATCGATGCCATTGTCATAGCTCGATGACCGCGAACTCGTCACTTTGCTCGACCCAGTTTCATCGATTTCGGGCAACGTTACAGCTGCTGTTATTCCTCCTGCTGCTGATGATGCTGTTGTTGTTATTGTTCCTCCGGGCAAATCGTCATAGCTGTCCGGGGGTTTCTCATGCGTGACCGAAGTCTCTGCAAAGCCACGAGTGGCACTGAAGAAAAGTGGCAAAAGAAATATTCCAAACTTGTTGATTAATATTCACAGACAATTGTGTGTGCATAATTTATGCATATGAATTGACGAAACTTAAACTTAAATCCTTTGCCATGATGTCAGCCTTGGCACGCGATTTCTCTCTTACCCTCCCGCCACCCCACTACATTACCCTTGGTTCATTTACAATTTATAAATACAACATACAAGTAGATGTACAAAACACACACATAAACACATATAAACGCATACACGCACACATTTGCACAAGTGGTGCTTACCTGATGCTAACGCGACGTACCCACTTTTTAAACATGGCAACACTGGTGATGCTGTCAGAGATGCACTTTCTAATGCAATTTAAACTGCATGCAAGACTTTAAAAACGGCGACTGCAAATCTTTGTTTTGCATATTTTGCGGCGCCAGATGTGCGCATCAAATCAAACTGATTACACATACACACACACAAAAAAGGAAGCGGAATTGCAAACACAAACATACACAGCAGCTACAAACAACATACTGGAGCCAAGGAGAGCTTTGCGCTATTTGTTGAAGTATTTTTATATGTATATATTAGGCGAATGAAAGAAACCAAAAAGAAAACAAAGAAAGAAAGGCACACAGGCACAGCAGTCAGCGACGTGCCCAACTACCAACTGACAGGACGAAAATCGTAAATCGTACGACGAGCCGAAAAAAAAGCTCGTCAGTGGTGACGTACTGGCGTTGCCAAATCGGCTTAAGGCACTGCTTGACAAAATTGTATATTTTATTCACAGGCGAGTGACCAACTTACACACGCATGTATGTGCGTGTGTGTGTGTGTGATTCCTAAACTGCAACTTGCATTGGAAAAGGGCAAAAGCGCATGCGCTCTTCAAATAAAAAGAAGAGAGAGTAGTTTACACAATAATACACACTCACACACATAAATATAAAAATATGACTACATATGTAGATGCAGTTGTACGCAATTTTTGAACCGGCATCCTGTTCACATGGCAACCCCGTCAAACCAATGACAATAAGATAACGGTTTGTTGTTTATCTATCACACATATGTCAGCATTTTTCCGCTTTTCCACACTTACCAGCCAATTGGTGAGCTGCCTACACTGGTGAATGGATCATCATAGGCATCATAAAAGTCCTCCTCGCCCTCGCTGCTCGAATAAGAGGTCTCCGGTACGATGAGTCCCAACGGCGCTGTAGTTGCTGCAATTAAATGCCAAATTAGAATATCAATTGCACATTACCATAGTGTCGATTGCAAGCAAATATCGATTGCTAGCAGACGGTTCGGCCCTTGTACATACATATGTGACCCTGAATAGGTGTTATGACATCAAACTAGGTGTACAACTTTATACAGTATTTTTACATACATTTATTTATACAGTATGCATATACTATTTTTTCACATGAACATGCCACATGCACACCATTTTATTCTGTATTCAAACTGCTCTTTGATTTATGTATTATGTAAGAGTAAACTTTTTTTTAAAACTATTTAACCATAGACTTGACTTAATAAATTTTCATCATAAAAGAGTTTGGTCACAAATTTAAAGACACATAAAAGACAGCCATATAAGATAAGATTCACATGCAAAAGTAATGTAAACAATGGAAAAGCTCATAAATGGTAATTATACCCTCAAAAGAACAATAGGAAACAATTAAGAGAAATGAGGCAACGAACATGCCCCGAAAATGTGACCGGCTAAATACATTTTGCACTTGAATGACATTTACCGTTTTCCGTTGCTGAATCATCCTCATCGTCGCCAGGCAGTAGTTCGTTCTTGAGTGCCGAGTTGACCTCGTTCGCCTTTCCGCCGGCCGTTGATGCAGGGATGCCCGCCGCTGTCGTCATCATGCCAGTCGTCGTTGTTGTGGTGGGGCCGTTGTAAATGCCGTTGATGGGGTGCGCCATATTTTTGGCAATTTGTAGACTTACAATCGAGTGCTTGATATGATCCAGCATGGCCTGCAAAATGCAAGACAAGAAAACAAACGGCAAATGAATAAGACGCCAAACGGCAAAAGACAAAACAAAACAACAAACAAAATACCAGCACGCAAAGTGTAAAGACCTCGATTAAATAACCATGACGGATGGACCACCCCGCCAAAACTGCCCTGCTGCCGTCGGCACCTGCCTGGTGCTGATTTCTTTTCTCTCGAAATACAGTTTGCCTCGAAGTTTGCCAATGAAATGTGCAGCTGTCTGTTATGTGTGCAGCTGGCACGAGCTCGCCAAAGTTCTCATGGCTCTTGCATATCTAATAATGCACTCCTCAGGCAAACCCTGAACTTGAATTGAAAATCAATAATTCATCCGATTTAATGTTACTCTAGCAAACACTGACTAAATTTCAAATGTTAATAAACAAACAACTAACACGTTTCACACTTCTCACTGACATATTAAATTAAACGCTAATAAAATGGATGAGAAACTGACTGATCCAATGGTGTACACCATTGACGAGATACGCGACCAATTCAGACGCTATACGGAACGATGTGCCCAAAATATTGTGCGCATGGAGAAACTCTGCTTGAATACGGAGCTGAAGGATATAAATCAGTCAGCCTTTGGTGGTTCGCAAGTGGAGGCAAATGCCATTGAAGACTTGCCCGCGAGTATGAATGATGCACCGCAATTCGATGTGGATAAATCCGCTGGGTCACAGCTGACAAAGGAGCAGCAGCAGCAACGGAAGGTAGAGTTGGAGGGCCTGCTGGTTATCAGCTGCGGCTCCAGTGAGTGCCTCTTTGACAACTGTCGACGGCGTGTGGACAGCCAGCTGCTATTGCTGCACTACCTCTGCGATCACAATGATGAGATTGCTGCCGCCAATCGTTGCCACCAGTTGCGAGAGGGTCAGCGCGTTGTGCTGTCTCTGGAGCCTCGACGCTGTCAGCTAAAACAGAATGAAGTAATCGGACTGCTCGCCTATGCGGGCACCCTGATGCAGCAGCACCAGCAGCTGGTGTCGCCGGTATCGTTGCATCGCAACATCTACAACAGTTTTCTGCCACAGCAACATACACATCTCAAGTGCGATGTGCCCATCGTGGTGCTCATCTGCAAAACATCAGCGATTGCGGCACTTCGGGACAAGGAGCTGGCACATCGCGTTGAACCGTATGCGAGTCCCACGGACCAGGTATTTGTCATCTGGCTGGTGACGCCGCACAATGAACTGCAGCTGAATGCCACGTTATGTCTTTATGGACGGGATGCAGCCATCAAGGCGAGCAGCATTGTTGCAGTACGTCAGGTGCGTCAGACCCAAGACACATGTCAATTTATGCCCGTGGATGCCAACTATTGGCGCCTCTCATTTACTGAGATGCAAAGAATATCAAATGACTTTAGGGATGAGCTCTATCTGGAGGTGAGCTTAACCGAGCTGAGCCAATCCCGCAGCGATTAATTGTTAATAAAGTTCACTGGCTATGACTACTCACACTTGCGTTATCCTGCAGCGCCTTGCACTTGGCCTGCTCCGTGGCGTCGCTTAGCTCAGCAATGCGTTTGTCCAGCGACTGTTTTGGAAAATGAGTATTACATAATTACACAATCAATCAATGTGTATTAGCTTTAAATTGAACACACTCACATTGCTTTGCTCTATCATCAGCTGCAGATAGGCGTCCGCTTCGGAGACACGTCGTGCGACGAGCTCCAAGTGATTGGCCCGTTTGCCACTCGATTCCTTCGTGTAGCCGCCGGCAAGGTAGTAGGCGCTCTGACTGTCCCACAGACGCGAACGATTCGCGTGCCGTCGAATTGTGTCCTCCAGACGTCGCACCCACTGCTCACGCTCATCGCCATGCCGCGCCTGCAAGTGTATCGTTTGTTGTAGTGGATGAGTGGTTAGACGGTTGGGTTGGGTGGTTGGGCATTCGTTCGTTCCGTTTGCCAAAAAGTTTTATCGTTACAAAGTTGAGCAGCGGCGCCAAGCAAGAAGGGGGACACAACAGAAACAAACACAAAACACAAAATCAGAGAAATGCTCCAAAAGAAATTACTACCAAAAAAAAAACAGAGAAACATTATCTTCGGCTGGCCGAAGGCGCAATACTATTGCATACACATTATAGAAGTGCAATAACGAAACTGCTATGATATTTGTGCAGATGGCTGTTAATTATTTTAACTGAGTTCGTCCTCCCTATCAAGAATATATATATGTATATATACTAAATGGGGAACAGTGCTACTTATAATACACTCTGCAAGCTAAATTCTCTAAATATACATGAATTTGCATTTAATTACGTCGTCGTCGTATGGTTCAAAAGAGTTCAAAAATGTGCAGAGTATATGACAAAAATAAAAAGTTAAGTTTTATATACCCTTTTAGTGCAACGGATGCAGTACGCTGCATACAATTGAAATGAGAGATTACACTACTCAGAAACTATAAATTAAATTTAAAACATAAATAAAGTTTATATTTAATGTGGTAACACACTATCTAAAGCCCCATTACATATTGTAGATGATTTTCTTTTCTCAAAAAATAAACATAATTTTCCATTTGAATTATACTTGCCTGAAAGTGAAAGGTCTTGTGATCAACGGTTATGGTAAACGTGTTCTCCTCCTGATCATCAATACCAATAAGGGCATCCTTTAAGCGTACACAGCCGCGTCGCACACCCTTCATCATCTTTTCCTTGGACTGGCAATGAAAAAAGAACAAAGAGAACAACAATAAGAAAGTCCATTTTCCATTTCTAAAGATTTTACGCAATTCGATATGAAAATTAGTGCGGCATTCGTCCATTTTTTCTATGACGTTCATAGACAGACAAGACATAATCAACGACACGTTTAAAAACGCATAAATTAATGCAAACTGATTAAAATCAATGCGAGCATTTGACAATTGTTCACTAATCAACGATAAGTCGGTCGCGCTGGAACGTAGAGTTGCCTTCGCAGCTTATACTGTGTCATATCAATTTATAGACAAAGTCTGCAGGACTCTAAAAACAATTAAACATGGACATGGACTTAAGTAAAGCAAGTGAGAGAGACAGAGATAACACAGCTTTTACATATTTTTGAAACTACTCGAAAATTGTAATATTTCTTCTTGGTTGCATTCAGCTTATGAGACCAATCATCCTGAGATTATGGCGACTCCTTGGTTTATGTTTGCTGTCCTGGGCATATATTTATTTGCCATTACCAAATTGTTGCCAGAGTGAGTTTGCCATTAAATTCAAATTGTACAAAATGAATCCCAAGTTCGAATACGACGCACTTTGTACAGAAAAATTACCAATTCAATTGACTTAAGCGGTGTTAATAGGTGCAGTAGATCAATTAAATGTTTCATTTTATATTTTAAGGGTTATGGAATTCCGCAAGCCATTCGAACTGAAAAAGTTGATCATAGTCCATAACATAGTGCAGGTCGTTTCATGCATATATGTTGTCCATGAGGTAAGTTAAGAAAGTTTAATAATTATTATAATTCATATTAATATTAAATACTCTCAATCCAACTACAGATTCTGCACATAACTGAGGGTTTAATCATATACTTCTGGAAATGCAGCATATTAGAACAGACACCACAACGCATGAAACGTCACTTTAGTTTGGCATATTTCCTATTCTGGCTGAAAATCTCGGAGCTGATGGAGACAATTATATTTGTGCTACGCCGTAAGCAAAATCAGGTCACCAAGCTGCACATCTTCCATCACATATCTACAGTAACGCTAATTTATATGCTTATTAATCATAATGAGACAAATGGTATGTGATTATTATTATTTTGAATGCGTCTCGATTAATATTTATCCCCATTGGTCTTCATTTTAGGCTGTGATGCACTATTCCCTATATTAATGAACTCATTCGTACATATTATTATGTATTCATATTATTTAATTGCCGCAGTGGCAGACAAGAGCATTGTGCGTGCTCTGATGCCAGTGAAGAAGTCGATCACAGTTATGCAGATGGTGCAGTTTACAATAATGTTGATACATTCAATGCTGGTCTTGATGAATTGCGGTGTGGACACAAAGGTATTCATTTACTTTATATGTGTAATTGTGCTCATGTTCTATGGATTCTACGATTTCTATAAGAACACCTACAACAGCTCTAAGCGCAGCAAAAGTGACCAAAGCTTAGCTGAGCAATAAGAATAATAATCCTAATAAAAATAAACACTTTATGTAAAGCTGGAAAATTAGTACGCTTAGGATCCGTAGGATCCAATTTCCATTCGAAATTAATTTTAAATTTCAACGATTTAATAATAACTAAATTTGTTAAAAACAAGAAAATAAATAACAAACATTTTCTCAGCTGTTAGAGCTTAAAATACAATCAATTTTGCAAATGTTCTAGAGACATTTATGCATGGGTGCATTAAGAAAGGCATATGAGTCAATCATGCCCAAATGGAATAGATTGAATTCAACTGCGTATTCCACTGAATGATTGGAACCCGATCAGCCGATCCGTTAGTTCAGGCTCACAATCCTCTTCATACATATAGATATCAATACATACGGTATACAAATGTACGTGTTGAAATTTGATTAATTGGCGGCCTACGGTTGAAGGAAGAGACGCTGTTTCATTGCTTTTGACTGTCATTAGATAAGATAAGAAAGCTGCAACTGCTTAGATAAAAATAAACGTTTCTTTTATCACTTGTCAAGTGACACACACACAGCGAAAAGTGTTGATCGCTTACCGTGTAGTAGGATAGCAGACCCGCATTCTCGTCCAAGACAAAGAAGCGATACTGCCAGCCCTTCATCACGTTCGTCCATTTGCTCAGTGTACCCTCCAGTGTACCGGCTGATGCTGAAGCCATGCTTCAACTGTTGGGCTGCTGCTGTTGTTGCTGCTTCTACTGCTATTGTTTGGTGGTGGTGCTGCTGCTGCTGCTGTTGGTGCCGCCGTCGTTGTCAGCTGATCTGTTTGGCTGCCGTTGGAGCTAGGTGTGAGGCGGGTGGGCAATGATGTTTTGTGCGTGGTGACGCAACAGTCCTCCTACTCGCTCGTGCAATCCAAACAATACTATGCTGGTAGCAGGGCTTGTAAAACAAAGCATTTATTGGTATGCCGTGATTGTGCCTGCTTATTAATGGTTTGCTTGTCTCGCTCAATAGAGCGAGTGCGATAATCTCTAAATAGAGTTGTCAACATACATGCATTTAGTATTTTTTTTTTTAATTTTAAGGCGGTAACACTGCCATTTTGTTTACATTGCAAATATTGGCGGGTAACCAAATTTATCGGGCAGCATTTATCGGAAATTGATTTATTGGCGGCGTTGGAGAACTTATGTCATATTTCATTTTAACTTATTTACTTTCCTGAACTGTTTATATTGATCTACCGCTTTTATAATCAGTGCTATTTATAAGTTGGCATACTAGTTTATTATAATAATATTTTAAAAATGATCTTTATTAAAAAACATTACTGCTTAATACTAGGAATGAATGAGTTTTGTAGTGGTGAAAATTAACAAATTCGAATGGTATTCTTGCCCATGACAACTATGGCGCCCTCATCCTGAACCTCCTTAAGGGCATCTTCGAACTGTTCGCGTGTAATTAGCTGAAACCAAATCAAGATTAATTATAAGGAAAATATTAAGGAAATAAAATCAGAACTTACAATTTGAGAGCCTTCCTTGATCTCCTTGAAAAGTTTCTGGTAAGGCACCGTGGGCACCTTGCCCTTCTTTTTGAGATTTTCTTTGATGGCAGCCACCAGATCAGCGCGTTTCTTGCGAGCAGCTGTGGACAGACCGGTGGTCAGGATGCCAACATCGATTTTACCCGACAGCGGATCTGTTGCCGACTGTTTCAGGGCCTCGCGATGTAGCCGCCAAGCTTCCTCGACATCTCGCAATTCGACCTCATTGCTAAGTCGTACCTTGGCGTGTGCTTCCGATAGACGTATCAAGCTTTCCAGTTGCCGAGGATAGGCCGAAATTTGACCACGACCAGCGCCTACCTTGCGCATGTCCACGTATGCCTGAATTAGGCGCTGTTGAGCTTCGTCCGACAGTGTCGGAGAGAGATGCTCACGCGCATAGGCTATGTAGTCACGCAGCACGCTCATATCCTGCAGGAATTAGACATTAATGTAGCAACATATCTTCAACTCGCCAATAGTTCAGCTTACAAACATAGTGTCCTCCTCCTCGTGACGCGTCACATAGTACAGAGACACCAAGTGGCTGGCCAAACGTTTGTCAAAAACCTCATCTTGCGGATCCAAGACCAGGAATATCAAATCGAAACGCGACAGGAGAGTATGCGGCAACTGAACATTGTCGATGATATTCTTGCGCTTATTCCACTGCGACTCTGCGGGATTGGCTGCTGCCAGTATGGAAGTGCGGGCGTTCAGTTGACAAATGATGCCTGCCTTGGCAATGCTCAACGTTTGCTGCTCCATCACCTCGTGCAGCACACTGCGCGTGGAATCGTTCATCTTGTCAAACTCATCGATGCAACAGACACCATTGTCGGCCAACACGAGGGCGCCACTAAAAATATATATGGGAACGTTTTCGTTTTAAATAAGAGTGGAAAAACTGAAAAGCATTTGAATCACATACGTTTGCAGGACCAGTTGGCGTGTTTCCGGATCCTTGGTCACATATGCAGTCAGACCCACCGCTGATGAGCCACGACCCGATGTGTACTGTGAACGTGGCACCAAATTGTAAACGTACTGAAGCATTTGCGATTTGGATGTGCCGGGATCACCGCAGAGCAGTAGATGAATCTCCGATCTAAAGTTCTGACGGCCCAGGGTAGCGTGTTTCTTTTTGGTGCCGCCAAAGAGTTGCAGCAAAATGCCCTTCTTAATGTCATCGTTCTCGTAAATCGAGGGCGCAATAGCGCGCGCCAGGCGATCATAGATATCGGGTTTCTTCGACAGCAGTTGCAGCAGTTCAATGCGTTCCGGTGGAAAAATGTGATCCTTGCTGAAAATACAAATAATTTACAAACTATAACAAAGATGGGAAACTATCACCTTGTTGCTTACCCCTCTTCCTCCTCGTACAGTCGCTTGTTGTCCACCTTACGGAAGTGGACCACATCGATGTGTGTTTTGTACACACTCTTCACATTCAATCCTTTGCCCCTTAGCGGCGTGGCCCGATAGATGCCAGTGACAGTGATGCGATCGCCTGGCTGCACTTTGTCCACCAGATCATTGTGGGCATACAACAGAACATTGTGCGGCGTCTGACCTGCGGCCATGTCATCCGGCGACTCCTGCAGCTTGATCAGCTGTTTGTCTGAGAACTCGCTGCGATTGTGTATGATGCGGAAACAGTGATTCGTGTTACAATTGGTGCATAGCGTTGGCTGCGAAATACGTCCACGATCGACTTCGACGGTGGTGCAGAAAGAGCAGATGTTGCACATGAAAAACGCCTCACGCATTTCGGGTATGACGTTCGAGGAGCGGATAACCATGCCGCTAATACTGATCAGCTGGTCCATATCCTCAGGATTCAAGGATCGCATGTTGCGCGTCTTGTCCGCATTGAAGGGACGCACTTGAATCTGATGCTCCAGCAGGGCGGCCGGATAACGCTCAAAGAACATCTCATTGATGGCCATATCAAAGCCAGGAATTACTTCCTGTGGATAGCATATCAGCTGTCGATACAAATCCTGCTCGAAGGTCTTCAGATGTGCACAGTTCAGATTTAGATATGGCTCTTCTAATGTGTGAATCTCCTCCAGCTTCTGCAGATATAACGGCTGATTAACATCAATGTTCTCCGATATTTCATCCTGTTCGGCGCTTGGATCGATGAAGCGCATGATGAACGACTTGAACTTGGACTTGCACTGGCTCACAACCACATTGGTGCCCCAGACAACCAGTTGCGGTGCTGCTGATGCCTCGGACCCTGGATCCGTCTCCGAACCCTTCTCAGCAATGGGTTCCAGCTGTAATATGGAACGCGATTATAGGTAAATGGTCAAAGCTTGAAAGCGATTAAGCTACATACACCCGAGGTGCCTCCAATAGCCACTTGCCGGATGCGCTTATCCGTGCGAATATCTGGGCGCGCACGCAATGGAGTGCCACGTATGCCGGAACGTGGTGTACGTATAGAGCCCATGGAACTGGGCGTGCCATAGTTGAGGGGCGAACTCAAATCAATCTCGCTCATGCCACCGAGACCACGAGCAGGACTCGTGGCGGGCAAGCTAATATTCGCCGGCGATGTTGGCGGCAGACTAATGTTGTCGGAGGGCCTCACAGGCAACCGGCCGGGTCCCATACGCATTGGCGTAGCTGCATCCTGTGCAGCAAAGCCTTCAAATAAATGCATGTTTGTTTTACATGGTTAATATTGTCAACCAAATCCGAAAATCAAAACTTACTTCGTGTGGGCGTGCGCACTCCTTGTTTTGGTGTACCAGAGCCAACATTGGGTGAATGAGCGGGGCTTGACATTTTTTGAGTGTTTAAATTATCCGTTCAATGTTTTCCACAACAAATAGCAGTAGCACTTCTCAATATTGTTGTCGCCGAGTTTGTGGACAATGCGCTGCCTCCAATTTTGCGCGGGAAATATTGACAGATGCAGCAGCGACGGAGAATTACAGTGTTGGCGAGTAGTTGCGCACGCTGCATAGTATTGTAAATCGAATAACTCCTCTTGCCGCCAAAAATTAAATTCAAATTATGTGAAAGATAATGTTATGGAAATACCATTTTATAATTATAATATATATTTTTTCGTTGACGAAACGAGACAACGTGTAATTATACTGACGATTTGTCACACGGCTAACTTGGCCAGAACTTTGCTGCGCTGTGACAACCCTGCCCTTTTGGCAACACAACATTCTACGTCAGTCAGAGTCAGTTCAGAGACGGCGACGAGGCGAACTGTTATTGTTAGCAAAGTGTCTTCAAAATTACCAATGTAGCAAAAAAAAAATTCGGGTTTTGATTAGTTTAATTTTAAATTAACTTAAATAAATTGATTTGAATTTACCGGAAATGGCACTATAAAAACAAAAACGGAATCTACTGAATAAAAAAAAACGCAAATACAAAAAAAAAAACATAAAAAAAAAAGAAGAAAAATAGGACAATTTGTTTAACCCAAATTCGAATTGAGAAGACAAAGCTAACGAGTTTTATGCGCCTATCAATCTCCTCACTGCCGTCAGTTAGGAGTCGGAGTGTAGCGGTGGATAGCATTAAGTGCTAAAGCTGTACTTGGATTACACGGAGAAAAACAGCACGCTGCAATCATGTCAAGCGAGGAGATGTTATACGCAAAGGTACATTACACATTATATATTGATGCCCCACAAGTGCATTGTTGGCAATTGCTGCGCGCTGTCGTCGTCGTCGTCGTTGTTGTCGCTGGCGTTTTACCTTTGCCAAGCGGCCAATAGTGTTAAGAATGGGGGGCTTATAAAAACGCATACATAATAACAATAACAACGTGCACTGTATATATATATATATATATATGTGTGTGTGTGTGTGTGTGTTTGTGCGCCAATTTCATTTTTGCATTTCTTTAATGTCTTGCAAGCTGCTTGTGTCTTATTGATGTCATGGCAGAGACTCATTGCATGCATTTCTAGCGGGGGGCAGATAATAATTTAGAAATGATTCATGTTGTCTTATCAAAACTTTCGCGCTGATAAGCGTGGCGTTTTTTTCAGTCAAGATGTCATGTTTTGATGTGTGTATGTGTGTGTGATTGTATGTTTGAATGACAGATGTGGGTGGCTAAGCTTTTTTGGCTTAGGACAAGAACTGAGCTTTGGGTAGCTCAGACTGCCTCACATTTCATTTGACAAAACTGGTCAACTTGTCGCAGGTCATGTTAATAAAATGCAATTGTCAACTTTTGTTATTCGTAGGGCTCCAAGATTTGGATACCCCATGCGGAGGAAGTGTGGGAGAGCGCCACGTTGTTGGAGAGCTATTGCAAGGGTGCCTGCTTTTTGAAACTGCAAACCGAAACGGGTGCCTTAACAGAGATTAAACTGAAGAAGGATGGAAGTGATTTACCACCGTTGCGCAATCCTGCCATTCTGGTTGGCCAAAACGACTTAACCACCTTGTCGTATCTGCACGAACCGGGCGTTCTCTACAATCTGCGCGTGCGTTTCTGTGAGCGACAAATAATATACACATATTGCGGCATCATTCTGGTGGCCATCAATCCGTATGCGGATCTACCGCTCTATGGACCCAACATTATACGCGCGTATCGCGGCCATGCCATGGGCGATCTGGAGCCGCACATATTCGCGCTATCAGAGGAGGCCTACACAAAACTGGAGCGTGAAAACTGCAATCTCAGCATCATTGTCAGCGGCGAATCGGGCGCAGGCAAAACCGTTTCGGCTAAGTATGCGATGCGTTACTTTGCCGCCGTTGGCGGATCCGAATCGGAGACACAGGTCGAGCGCAAGGTGTTGGCATCTTCACCGATCATGGAGGCCTTTGGCAATGCGAAGACCACTCGCAATGACAACAGCTCTCGTTTCGGTAAGTTCACCAAGCTGCTGTTCACGAACAAAATGGGCGTGATGTATCTGCAAGGTGCCACGATGCACACGTATCTGCTGGAGAAGTCCCGGGTCGTCTACCAGGCGCAGGGCGAACGCAACTATCATATCTTCTATCAGCTGTGTGCGGCGCGTGCCAAGTATCCTGAATTAGTGCTGGGTAAATAGATCATATATATATATATATATATATATTATATATAACCTGTATTTTGTTGTACTTGCAGAGCATCAGGATAGCTATCAATTCTTGAACATGGGAGGTGCGTCCGATATTGAACGTGTCTCCGATGCGGATCAGTTCAATGAAACTGTGCAGGCAATGACTGTCCTGGGTTTTTCGATACAACAGATCGCGGATATTGTTAAAATACTCGCTGGCATTCTGCATTTGGGCAACATTGAGGTGTCCAAAAAGTACAAGGATGGTAGCGACGAGGAGGACACCGAATCTTGTGATATATTTGTAAACTCATTTTCAACTCTACGGGGAATATTATTCTTAATCTCTATTTACTTACAGCAAAATGATTTGCATTTGCAAGTGACTGGGGATCTGTTGAAGATTAATGCTGATGATTTGCGTCGCTGGCTATTGATGCGTAAGATAGAGTCGGTTAATGAATATGTGCTGATACCGAACAACATCGAGATGGCAATGGCCGCTCGCGATGCTCTGGCCAAGCACATCTATGCGAAGCTCTTTCAGTATATTGTCGGTGTGCTGAACAAGAGCTTGTATAACGGTAGCAAACAGTGCAGCTTCATTGGCGTGCTCGATATCTACGGCTTCGAAACGTTCGAAGTGAACTCGTTTGAACAGTTTTGCATAAACTATGCGAACGAAAAGCTCCAGCAGCAATTCAACCAGCACGTCTTCAAGCTTGAACAGGAAGAGTATCTCAAGGAGGGAATCACATGGACCATGATCGACTTTTATGACAATCAGCCCTGCATTGATCTAATTGAGTCGCGCCTTGGTGTGCTCGATCTGCTCGACGAGGAATGCAGAGTTAGTAATAGGATTCATAATTGTTATTCCAATTGATTAACTAATTGTTTGTTTGTTTGTTGTACAGATGCCCAAGGGCAACGATGAGAACTGGGCCGGTAAACTTGTAGAAAAGTGTTCCAAGTATCCGCATTTTGAAAAGCCACGATTTGGAACCACAAGTAAGAACAGCCACTATTCACACACGTTATTGAAACGAACACTAAAATGTGTTGTAAATTTTAGGTTTCTTCATAAAGCACTTTTCGGACACGGTGGAATACGATGTAAATGGATTTTTGGAGAAGAACCGAGACACGGTGTCCAAGGAGCTGACTAATGTGATGGCCCAGTCGAACATGCTGCTGTGCAAACAAGTCATGATACTCGAAGAGGTGGACACTCTCAGCACGGATGCCAATAAGAGCACCACCACTCTGGGCGGTCGCGTTGTAATCAGCGCGAATCGTAAACAGGTTTGTCAGCAGCCAAATAAACCGTCTATTGTCACATCAATTACTGCTTGATGGCCTGGCGCCTTGTAATATATATATATATTGCCAATCTGTATTTTCATACGCTTGTCCACAATTCACTGTTCACTGTCCACTGTCCACTGTCCAATGTTCACATCGCCAACGGGATCAACAGCAACTCAATGAGACGCGTCGAAGAGTTAGTTTATTATGAATTTGTTCTATATGTTTTCGTATTCCATGCTGTCCATTATATATGAAATTAACAAGCGTTCTTGGACATCCTTAGGTTGTGCCATCGAAACAGCACAAGAAAACTGTAGGCTCACAGTTCCAGGAGAGTCTGGCCTCGTTGATTTCAACACTGCATGCAACAACACCGCATTATGTGCGCTGCATCAAGGTAAATATATAGATAACCAAATGGGTTGAACAAATAATTACTGAATCCTACCTTCCAGCCCAATGATGACAAGATTGCCTTTAAGTGGGAGACGGCGAAGATAATTCAACAGTTGCGCGCGTGCGGCGTGCTGGAAACTGTGCGCATCTCAGCCGCTGGTTTTCCATCGCGTTGGCTATATCCCGATTTTTATATGCGATACCAATTGCTGGCGCATCGCAATCAAATCGATAAGAACGACATGAAGCAATCGTGCCGCAATATTGTGCTGAAGTGGATACAGGACGAGGACAAGTATCGATTTGGTAATACGCAGATCTTCTTTAGAGCCGGACAGGTGGCTTATCTGGAGCAGGTGCGCGCCAATCTCCGCAAGAAGTACATCACCATTGTGCAGTCGGTAGTGCGTCGCTTCATTAAGCGACGTCGCTATCTAAAACTTCAGGCTATCGTCCATGGCCTACAGCGCTATGCACGCGGCTATATGGCGCGAATGCGTGCCCAGAAATTGAGAGAGGTGCGCGCCGCTCTCATCCTCTCCAAGTATGCACGCGGCTGGCTTTGCCGGCGTCGCTATTTGCGTCTGTGCCACTCGGTCGCTGGTATACAGCAGTATGCTCGTGGCAAGCTAGCGCGGAACAGGTTCATTGCCATGCGGGATCACTTTAGGGCCGTCCAGATACAGCGATTTGTACGCGGTGTCCTTGCACGTCGCGCTTATCAAAAGCGCCGGCGGAGCATCATCATTTGCCAGGCGGCGGTGCGCCGCTTCTTGGCACGTCGCCAGTTCAAACGTATGAAGGCCGAGGCAAAGACCATATCGCACATGGAGAATAAGTACATGGGCTTGGAGAACAAGATCATTTCGATGCAGCAGCGCATCGATGAGCTCAATCGGGACAACAGCAATCTGAAGCACAAGACCAGCGAGATTAGTGTGCTAAAGTCAGTATTTATCTGTAGTTTATCTGTTGTTTTATTAACATTCTCCCATATAGAATGAAGCTGGAGATGAAGAAAAACTTGGAACAAGAGTTCAAGACCATAAAGGCCGCCTGTCTGGATAAGGATAAGTTAATTGAGGCGCTCAATAAGCAATTGGAATCGGAGCGCGATGAGAAAATGCAACTACTGGAGGAAAACGGACACTCGCAAGAGGCTTGGGCCCAACAGAAGCAGCAGTGGGGCATGGAAAACGAGGAGTTGCGCAAGCAAGTCGACTCCATGATCGAAATGGCCAAAAATGCCGAGGGCAATGAGCGGGAGCGCGAGGAGCGCATGTTAGCTGAAATCGATAACAAAGAGCTAAACGAAGCCTATCAGCGTGCCATCAAGGACAAGGAGGTGATTGAAAACGAGAACTACACGCTCAAGGAGGAGCTGAGTCGCTTCCAGCAACAGCATAATGGGATCAGCGCCTATGATATGCGTCACACACGCTCCGCCAGCAATGCATCCAGCCAGAATGAGGATGACGTTGGCTATGGCTCCGCCAGGAATACGCTTGACATCAATAGATCGTCAGATTTGATGAACAAGAACGGTAATTACATTGATTGATTACCTTATTTGGATAAGGATAGATATGCTTATGATGTTATTATGGTTTCTTCTGTAGATTCATTCTTTGACAGCACAAGCATTGTGGTGAAGCTGCGCTCCATACTCGAGGAGGAGAAGCAGAAGCATAAGAGCCTACTGGAACAGTACATGAAACTGGCAAGTCGCAATAAGCCCACTGAGGATTCGTTCCGGTAAGCATTGAGCATTGAGGCTGTTAACTGTTGTGTAAAAGCATTAAGCATTAAGCATCAACATATTCACACACACAAACATACGCCTACAGTTACCGGTAGTCTAATTACAATTATGTATATTATTGCCACACATTATTGCCATAGCGTCTCCGAGCTTGAGGTAGAGAATGAGAAACTTCGCAGCGACTACGATCAGCTGCGCACGAGCATTAAGCACGGCGTTGAAATCAACGAGCTCAATGGTAACATTCGTAACGGGCGATCCTCTGCTCAGTTATATGGATACATTATTTATTCTCTCCATTTTGCTCTCTCTCCCTTCCATCTCTTGCGTTTGTATTTGTAGCACAACATGCCGCACTGCAGGAGGAGGTGCGTAGACGGCGCGAGGAATGCATTCAATTGAAGGCGGTTCTATTGCAACAGAGCCAATCGCTGCGCTCCATTGAGCCAGAGAGTTTCCAGTTACGCGGCAATGATGCAAGCAATGTGCATGAGCTAATGGAGGCATTCCAATCACAGAAATTGGTGAACAGGCAACTGGAATCGGAGCTAAAGGCCATCACTGAGGAGCACAACAGCAAGCTGGTGGAAATGACGCAGTCTATCGAGAGGCTCAATTTGGAAAAGGACGAAATGCAAGAGGTGCTGTTCAAGAGCATCGATGAGTTCGAAGAGGCAAATGTGGATACACTGAAGCAGAACGATCGCTATTTGCGGATGGAACTGAAGAAGGCCATAACACAGTACCTGCTGGTGCAGGACGAGCTCAGGCTAGCCAATGCCAAGCTGAAGGCATACAGGCAGGATGGCGGCAAGCTGGAGCACAAGCTGGAGGAGGAAATGATACGCAACAAGGCGGCCAACAGCAATAGCAATGACGTGGGAGCCAATGTAACCAAACAGAAGTCTCAAAATCCGCTTGGCCTCATGAAGTTCCACAACAGTGATCTGGATAAAATCTTGCAGCGTCTGCTCAGCAGTCTAACACCCCGAACTGTGGTTGGTCTGTTGCCCGGCTTTCCAGCCTATCTCATCTTTATGTGCATACGGTAAGTTAAGCTACGAATCCAATATATCCGCAATTGATTAATGCTCTCTGATTCCCTTGCAGTTACACTGATCTGACCAATGCCGATGAGGATGTGCGCGAGCTGCTTAGCAAATTTGTAATGCAAATCAAGAAAATGCATAGAACACCGCATCCAATTGAGAATCGCGTCATTTGGTTGGTCAACTCAATAACGTAAGATAAATATTTTAAATCATTCGCCAACAAGTTTACTAAAATGTATTTTATTCACAGGCTACTGAATTTATTAAAGCAATACGGCGATGTTGAGGAATATGTTAAATTTAATACGGAGAAACAAAATCAACAACAGCTAAAGAATTTCAATCTTTACGAATACCGTCGCGTAATACTCGATCTAATTGTGAATCTGTATCAAGCGCTTGTCATGCAGATACAGGGACTACTCGATCCCAAGATTGTGCCGGCCATATTGAACAATGATGAGATTCAGCGTACTCGACATGCGCACGGGATGCGCAATAGGAACACTGATGCCACATCATCGCCAGAACATGGGAATGTGCCCGCTTGGAAGCAGCTGATTGGCCAGCTGGAGCATTTCTATAAGCAATTCCAGCACTTTGGACTAGATAGCATCTATGCTGAGCAGATATTCAGCCAATTGTTATACTTTGTCTGCGCCGTTGCGCTCAATTGTTTGATGCTCCGTGGAGACATTTGCATGTGGGAGACAGGTATGATAATACGCTATAATCTGGGCTGCATTGAGGATTGGGTGCGCGACAAGAGGATGGTAAGTGGCACATTGGAGTCCCATTCTGTTCCCATTCGATCTAACTTTTCGTATTTTGCAGTCAAATGAGGTGCTGTCGCCACTAGCGCCCCTTAATCAGGTATCGCAGCTGTTGCAGTCCCGTAAGAGTGAGGAGGATGTGCAAACGATTTGCGATCTATGCACATCGCTGAACACCGCCCAGGTTCTCAAGGTTATGAAGTCATACAAGTTGGATGACTACGAAAGCGAAATAACCAACGTATTTCTGGACAAGCTAACACAGAAACTCAATGAACGTCAAATGGTACAACAGCACATTTGTCCCAAAATATGTTTGTATATATTAATACTACAATTTGATTTTCATTACAGCCGAAGAGCGACGAGTTTACAATGGATCAAAAGTTCATTCATCCGTTCAAGGTGGTATTCAAGTACAGCGACATTAAACTGGAGGAGATCGAGTTGCCGCCGCATTTAAATCTCGATGAATTCCTCACAAAAATCTAATAATTGCCATTTGACGTGATTGCAATTGTTTTCTATATTTTTTTGTTTTGTAATATAAGAGTCTTAGCTGAATGTAGGTGATGAATTTTCAAATTGTAGTTCCTGTTTAGCTTAAATCAAACTCCCCTGCTGACCCTCCACAATCCGCTTTGCCCGCCGTTTTGCCAAGTTTTAGTTGTTTTGTAGCTATAAATGAGAGTGTTGAAAGAAGGTTTCGAACCAATGCAATATTTACACGTGCCGGGAGTTTAACTCCCAAAAAAAAAAAAAAAACTGCATTCCTAAGTTGCAATAAAAAAGTGAACCTTGTACCTTAAATTATACATATATAATACTTATATAGAAAATGTACTTAACGTAACATGATAATGTTATATAAATGAATGTATACAAAGGCCGATTTGTTGCCTTAAAACCGTTTGCAATACAGAGACTTGTACGTGTTAAGATAATAAGTACTTCTTATATATATACACATACATATATTCGTATCGATGCTGTATTCAATTTATGTATTCTCATATTTTTTGTAACTTATGTATTAGCGTGATTCAAAGAGCGGAACCCCAAAAATAAGCAAAAACAAAAGAATCCATGCAAATTTAACTGTTCGCATTTGTTTGAAATATGCTAAATATTTATATTAAATACATACACATGTACAATTAATTTAAACAGAAGAATTTGTACAAAGGCGAAATGAACGCTTCAAATAAAGCTGTTAGCAAATAACCGACGCTTTGGATAGTTTATTTTTGGGAAGATCTAAAGATGGCAGGCGGCGAGTAATCATGCCCGTTGCCACAGTGGCTCCATTCTCGCGTATTGTGAACGCTTGACCGGGTGTCATGACCATCTTGCGCAGCAAGGTAAGACGTATCTGACCATGCTCGCCGGGCATCAGCATTGACTCACAGGGCACTGGAATAAGTTAATAGCTCATTAGCTTCATAGCTTCGAAAGCAGACCACGCACAAAACTCACCAATGTCAATGCGAGCTGGCAGATTCCATGTCATACTGAATAGCTGTTGTATATACTTGGACAACATTGGCTTGAAGCGGCCTCCCTCAGCGCGGGACAACAAATACATCGAGCCCTCGAAATGATTTGATATATCCTCTGAGCCAGTTGCGCATAACAACATGCCGCGCTCCACGGATGCAATTTTGATGCCACGGAGCAGGGCGCCTACATTTTCACCAGCCAGCGCTTGCGGGACGCTTTTGCGAAAGATCTGTATATCACTGACGCTGGTCTTCAAGTTTTGATTGAATCCCAAGAGATCCGCATCCGCATTGCGCGGTATGGTGCCGCGCTTGATGGTGCCAACGACAACAGTTCCACGTCCGGGCACAGTAAATGCATTGTCAATGGGCAGAATAAAAGGTGCTTTGACATCTCGCTGGGGTGTCGGTATATACTTGTCGCAGTGCTTCAGAAGCTCCTCGATGGCGGGCACACCAAACTTTGACTGATCCCCGCGTAGGGCCAGTAATGCAGAGCCACAAATCACTGGACTGTTGACGCCATCAAAGCCAAAATCCGTCAACATTTCACGCATCTCAATCTCAACCAGTTCAAGCACCTCTTGATCGACCAGATCCGCCTTGTTAATGAACACCACAATGCGCTGTATGCCCACCTGCTTGGCTAATAGCAAATGCTCTCGTGTTTGCGGCATTTGTCCATCCGTGGCGGCCACAACTAAAATAGCGCCATCCATTTGCGAGGCGCCCGAAATCATGTTCTGCAAAGCGTTTTATATTTCATAAAAAGATGGAGCAGCTACAAATTTACTCACCTTAATGTAATCCGCATGACCCGGACAGTCAGTATGTGCGTAGGTGCGATCCTCAGTTGCGTAGCCAATGTGACAGGCATTAATGGTGATGCCGCGCGCCTTCTCCTCGGGCGCACGATCGATTTGCTCGTAGGACATGTAATCGGCCAGACCCTTATTGGATTGGATTTTGGTGATTGCCGCCGTTAGCGTCGTCTTGCCGTGATCCACATGCCCAATTGTGCCCACATTACAGTGTGGCCGCTCACGTTCACTAGAATTTGGTTTCCGATTGTCTTTAATATTGCTAGCAAATAGACGGTGACTGCCGCCCCCGTTGCAGTTGGGGTACCGGCTACCGGCAACAGCAGTCAATACGATGGACAGCCTTTGTGGAGTGGCTGCATCGCATTGCCGCCAAAATGTAGCTAGAATACTTCTCATAGTCAGCAGAACCGATGCACGTAACCGCTGTTCAATCCGTATAACTAGCACGCCGCAGTTCAATCAAAATAACAACAGCTGTTTTCCACAGTGGTTGCCGCTGCTGTTGCAGTGTTGGAAAAAGAGTCAAAAAGCGAACAAACGGTAATTATATTTAAATATAAACATTTTTCAAAGGATGATTTTTTCAAAGTGTTGTTTTATTTATTTGAAATGTCTTCAACTTGTGGAAATGTTTGAGAATATAATGCGGATTCCGTTACCTCAGCAACTTTTGCACTATTACGAATAATTTTATGCGTGCGTTTCATATGGACACCCAAGCTAACGCGCTCAGAGAACTTGGTATTACATAAGCTGCACTGCAGAGTCTTCTCTTTGTGAATGTGACGATGCTTGACCAGGGCATTCGCATTGGTGAATGCCTTCTGGCAGATTTCGCAGACCTTGTCGCGTATGTTGAGGTGCGCCTTGATGTGATCCTTGAGATCGCGTTTAGTTAGAAAATCCTTGGGGCACATGGTGCACTTAAATGCCCGAATTTTGGTATGCACAGCGGTCACATGATTGCTCATTTGAATTTTCTGCTTGAACGATTTGCCACAGAACTCACAGACAAATGGTTTAGCTATATGCTTCTCGTCGTGGGTGCGCATATGACTGCTCAATTGGCTAGAAAAGGCAAAGCTGCGCTTGCACAGGCCGCAGTTGAAAGTCTTGCCCATGTGGACACGCTGATTGTGCTGCTGCAAATGGCAGCGCCGCTCGAAATGATTCTCGCAGAGGATACACTTGAACCAGCCGCCGTCACCAAACTTATGGGCTCTGTACTGATGGGCCTGGAGCGCGTGATCTGTGCTGAAGCTAGTATGACACACGTCACAGGGTATTTTCTGGCGGAATGTTTTCGTTCGCAAGAAACTTTTGCATGCCTCAATGTAATGTTTCTCTGCCTTCAATAAACCGATCGTTTGGGTCTCCGTCAGACCTTTGATTTTTCTGGAATACCATTGGCGCAGATAGAGAACACTGTCATACACATCGTAATATGTAATGATGTCCAGCGAAAAGTCTTTGCAGAGCAGATCACACATCCCAATGTATGCTTTCTTGCGCTCATTCAGAACTGCAAAGTCCTTGTGCGAAGGATCGTACAATTGTGGAAACTTTGAGTAAAGCTCTATAAAATGAGATGTCAGATGGTTCGTTTCAGTGAACACCAACTGAAAAAAGAGATACAAATGGGTGAAAAATGTTTGTAATTAAACAGCTTATCTTACCTTAATTTTGTTGTCGCCACTTTCCTCGTCGGTCTCCGCTTCATCCACATCGGAGCGTTTCCCAAGGAAACTGTACATTTCATGGTAATACAAAGGTAATTTTGTTAATTTCTTGGTACGCTTCTGACGGCTTATAGTCGCATACTGACTATGCAGACTGGCTATGCACTTTTTCAGCTTGTACTGGGTGAGATGAACGTTAATACTAGTCTTAAGCTGTTCTATTAATGTAACGTAGGCAGCAGTGCGTTTCACCTTGTCCTTAAAATCCGAGCTTTTGGGATCCCAGAGGCAAGGTTGGCCCTTGTACAGCTCTATGAATTGTGTGATGCGCGGATTGCGTCGATAAAATGTGGGATTAAACTAAAGAAACATATGGTGACTTCTTTAATTCGATGAGCTCTTGTCAAAGCACTATATTAAAGTATTTACTTTGACTGTTGGTGTAAAGCTCTTTTCTCCATCAGCGTCAGCGTCTGCCTGGGAAGCATCATCAATTTGGCTCTCTTCTGCCATCTGTGCGAAAAAAATGTTAGTTTATTTTAACAAAGTATTTGAATATTTAAATGTATTTACTTCATCTTCATCGTAATCATAGTCGCTATCGTTATCGACTTCTTCTTCGTCGGTCGATGCGGTGGGCAGGTCCACAAACGCTTCCTCAGCTAAACAATCCTTACCATCCTCTTCGATTTCACTATCTTCGCTTGTATCGCAAGTTGGCGTTGGCTCTTCCTTTATATCGATGCTGCGAGCACAGCATATTTTCTCCTCATCCAAATTCAGTTTGTGTACATTTCTTATGTGCAAGACAAATTCTTGCCATCTTTCTAGACTCACTTCCACGTCGCAACCGCTTTTGCAGTGCGAGCAGCTTAATAAGAACTCTTCGTAATTGTTCCGCACCCGAACTGTACCACAAATCACCATTTTGTACACATTAAATGACGATTGCGCTTGAAGATTGAAGAGCCTTATCAAATGACTCTGGTTTCGATAGCAATCAGCTGGTGCACAGTGTTGCAAAGCGGCATCAAGTATGCAAAATCTATTTGTGGGCGCGAAAAAATTATTTATTTATATTGCTTTTATTTAATTACAATTAATGCCTATGCTATAGAATTGAAGTCTGGGTTTTAGGTTTGGGAGTGTTATGAAATGCCTTGCGGTGCCGGGAAAGGCTGGTCGGACAGGTGAATGCTGCTCCACACTCGTTGCATTTCTTATCCTTGATATTGAAATGGGCTTTCATGTGGTTTTTCAACTGAACCCTCCTTCGATAAGTGTTGGGACAGAGATCACACGCAAATGGTCGCAGGTTCAGGTGAAAACCATTTATGTGGTAGTCCAGCAGCAGTTTCAGTCGAAAGGATTTGCCGCACAGCTCGCACACGTACGGTTTCTCCCCTGTGTGGATACGCGTGTGCAAATTGAGGTCGTTCTTCAGTGAAAATGTGCTATCACAGTATCCACACTTGAGCAACTTTTCGCAGTGCTGCCGCAAGTTATGCCGCTCCATGTCGTGATGTATGCCAAATCGACGCGGGCACTGGGAGCACAAGTATGGCAGTTCGCCCACATTATGCACCTTGACCATATGCGTGCGAAGAGTGTAGTCGATGAAGAAACGCTTGTCGCATAATTCACATTTGATAACGAAGCTTTCCGATTTTGGCGGCAGGAAGCTGCACTGTTGAATATAGTGCAGCTCTGATTTGGAGCAGGCGCGTCGCAATTCCTTTGATTTAACGCGCCGAAGTGTCATATAGGCCCATTTACGCAATCGCATGACGGCTAGATGAACTTCAGTTTCGTTGACACGCATCTTCGGTGCAAGCATCTGGGCTATCTTAATGTACGCTTGAGTGCGTGCTTCGAGGGATTTAAACTCAGCTACCGAGCTGTCATAGAGCACCGGAAAGTTTTCGAAGGTCTCAATAAAAGTGGTCGTCATTTTATTGATCTCTTTGAAATTTAGCTAAAATTCATTTAATTGATATTTAGAATATTAAGAATTGTTTTGCATTTGAATCTCACCTGTATTACGTCCGAATGGACACTCTCATCGGCGTCGTCGCTGTCACTTTGTGAATGGGCAGGTGCGATCGAGAGGAATTTACATTTACGAAAGTAACTTGCAGGCATTCCAGTCAGCGGTTTGTAGTCATCCCTTTGGCTGGCTAAGTTGAATTGACTAAGCAATTGCTGTATGGATTTCTTCAGTTCCTTTTCTGTGAAAATCACATCGGCTCTTTCGCCCATGCCTTCAATTATTGAATTGTAGGCTTCAGTTTCGAATTTCTTGTCGCCGAATTTTGAATCATTTGGGTTCCACAAGCATGGCTGATTCTTGAATTCTTCGATGAAGTGTAGTACACGGGGATTGTGGCGTGTGAAAGAAACTCGCAACTGAAATAGGTTTTAATATGTTACTATGTATCTCATAGTAAATAACGCTACATATATTAATGATGAATTATTTATTACCTTGCGCATTATTGTTGAATTACTTCGACTACGTTTGGGCTGACTTACACCTTGTTCGTCATCAGAGTCAGTGGAGCTGACCCATTGCTCGTCATCATTGTATTCGGCATCATCTGACGGATAGTGATCCTAATTTTTCAAAATTGATTAATTGCTTAAGGGCGTATATATTCGTAGAATACCTTACTAATTGTTGTCGCCTGCCCTGTCGCCCAATTTTCACTCTCATCGCCAGAAATGTCTTGTTCAACGGTCTCTGATATCGTATACATACCATTATAACTAGGCGAGGCAAGCACTAACGTTCCATTTGGTGATTGTAAAACAAAATTGTCCATAATGAACTCATTGGACTCCTGTTAAATGGATATCACCAAATGAGAATAGAAAAACCAAGTGTCTTAATGCAAGTTGCTTACTTCAATCCTCAGATCGTCGGCAGGGAATTGGTCGTTCTCTTCTTTCATGTCACTGACACTGTTGTTAGTGTCTCCGTAAGCCTCAAAATGCTCGTCTCGGGCATATAAGATTTCATTTTCACTTTGGGCACTTCCTTCATCTGCATCATCCAAAAGATGCTCATTTCGCGTGTGCAGCACGAACTGTTCCCAGTCTTTCAGATCACTTTCGACCGAACAATATATGCACTTCAAGTGAAATTCTGTATAGTTGGTATTGGTTAATAAGTTGGCGCATATTTCCATTTTTAGCGCTTTAATAAAGCCCAGAAAATTGAAATTATTTTTATATACGGCGTACCGAATGAAACAAGTCCAGCTGTGCGTCCAGCAGTGCTGAGTAACGTTGAAAACAAACCGATTATTTTGAAGCATATCGATAACATCGTTTCAGTTAAAAGAAAATTAATTTGAAATTTTTATTCTTACATTTATTAAGTTCTTAAATGTTTCGTAAATGTAGCACATCAACTTATTGTCTGCTCTGGAACTAAATGCTCTGTAGTTTTCTGTACATTGTTACGCACAATGTTGTGCGTACGTTTCATGTGCGAGTTTAGACCCACAAATTGCGAGAATCTGGCTTCACAAAGTTTACAAACAAATTTCTTAACTTCAGCGTGTATTTGCCGGTGTCTAATGAGTGAATGGCAACTGGTAAATCCTTTACCGCATGTTGTGCATATCTTATCACGTATGTTCAAATGGCTCTTGATGTGATCCGACAAATCGACCTTTTTCAAAAAGTCCTTTGGGCACATGGTGCACTTAAATGCTCTGATCTTTGTGTGTATGGCGGTGACATGCAGCTTCAGTTGAGACCTCAGTCTGAAGGCCTTGCCGCACAGCTCACACAATATACTATTACCGGTGTGGGTACGTATGTGTAGACGAAGATCCGAATTTACAGCAAAAGACCTTTCACAGTAATTGCACTTGTGCGTCTTTCCAATATGGACACGTTGCATATGCGTCGCCAAATCGCCGCGTCCTACAAAACTCCGATCACATGATGTACACTTGAAGGGTAGCTCCCCAATGTTATGAACCTTGCACATGTGCGCCTGAAGCACATGATCCGAGGATGTTTCCTGCTGGCAGAGTTCGCAAATTAGCTTCTGTTTGAACATCTTGTGGGGTAAGAACGCGCAGGCCTTTAAGTAAAACTGTTCCGACTCATTGCCCGTTTTAAGATTGCTCTTTGTACTCTTGTAGTACCACTGACGGAGGCACTGAACAGCGAGATAGACATCGTCGCATCTTATTGCCCGACCGTGAGGCACCAAAGATTGGGCAGTCATTGCTTCGTAGGCTTGCTTCCGTGAAATCATGCTGGAAAACTCTTTGTGTTTGCTGTCATAGAGCTGCGGAAAGTTGGCATACAGCTGTACAAAGTCTGTGGTGATCTTATTCCTTTTCAAAAAGTTTAGCTGCCGGATAAGGCATATATTTATAGAACAAGTTAATTTAAGTTTTTATTTAACATTACCTGAATAATTGAGTTCTTAAAGAAGTGTCTTTGATCTTCGCATGCTTTTAAAAAATCACAGCTTGTGAAGTGATTGAAGGCCACAGAATTTGTCTTTTGAGTGCCATTCAATACACGCCTCTCCACCAAATTATATTGCATATGTAGCTTTTTGATGGCCGCCTTAAGAGTATGTTCTGAAAATGAGACGTGTATTTGTGTCTTCAGCTCTGCGATGAGCTGCGCATAGGCGGCTTTGCAAGCAGCTGAGTCTTTGTATTTGCTACAGACAGGATTCCATAGACAGGGCTGACTTTTATATGATTCAATGAAGTGCAATGTGCGCGGATCTCGTCGGAAGAATGATGGATTGAACTAAAAAAGAATTGGCTAGTTTTAATAAATATTTCACATTCGCAGTAAATGTAATTACCTTGTAATTAGGCGAATATGATGCTGGCTCCTGATCCGCGTCATCTGCTGATTGAGTATTGTAGTCAGTTTCAGCAGTTTGATTTTCACCCAAACTTGAATCCGACAGCGATGAGGAGATTCTTGACATATCCACCTCTGATAGTTCCTTCAAATCGGTGTTCTCCTCCTCAATGGGCACGGTGAGATACTCATTCTTAGCAACATTTTCTTCTACAGCGATTTCTTCTATATCCAGAAAGCTTGAATTATCCTTGCTGCTCAAGGCGTGCGTATTCTGAAAGTGTAGCACGAATTCCTGCCACTTCTCAATCTCAATGTCTAACGGGCAATACGAGCAGCGCATTAGTAAACTTTCAAATTCACCAGCTCTGCTTAAGATGAAGCCGCAAGTTTCCATTGCCGTGTGCTTTTAATGTTCACCATTTAATTGAAATAACAACAAAATGTAATTTAGCTCGCAATCAGCTGGTTTCTTACAGGGCTGCCAACGCATTGGACTTTTATTGTGGAAAGAACATCTGGCAACGCTGTTGTGCACAGTAGTGTTTGTTTACATGGCAGGCGACCGGAGGTAGGCTCTTGTAATGCTCGAGGAAACCTCATCGCAATGGAGGAGCACAAAAGTCATCTAACATACACATTATATATGCTAACCTTATTTCTGTGTGGCACTCTGCTCTTTCTGATTGGCTTCTTTCCGGCTTCATACAACGTTGCAGAGCAAGAAAATACCTTGCCAATTGACCGGCCAACAACACTGCATGGAGAAAAGTAGTTTATCAGTAAAATTATACATATATGTTTAGATGTATGTATGTGGTTATTGCCACATATGCTACAATCTTTGCACTTTTACAGCCTGCAGATCCCGACGGCCAGTTATGACTCATTCATACTGTTTCTGATTGATGCCTTGCGTGCGGACTTTCCCAATGAGTTCACCATGCCAGCGGCCCATAAGAGGGCTTGTGCCAAGCTCAGTCTGCACGTGGACATACCGACAGTGACAATGCCACGGCTGAAAAGTATCACTACCGGCACACTGTCCAATTTTATAGACATTGCGCTGAATGTGGGCCACACGGAACAGGTTGAGGATTCGCTGCTGCATCGCTTGAAAGAGCACAATGCTGTTGTTTCTTTTGCTGGTGATCACACCTGGGTGCATTTGTTTCCCAGTGAATTTACGCGCATTGCCGCCAATAATGATTCATTTTACGTCAACGATTTCTATGAGGGTGACAGAAATGTTACCAAAGTGTTGGAAACGGAATTGGAAATGAAAGACTGGAAGCTGCTCATACTACACTATCTGGGCCTGGATCACATTGGACACGTTGAGGGTAATGAGAGTCCAAGGATAAAGCATAAGCTTAAGGAAATGGATGACGCTATCAAAAAGATATTGGATCACAAGGCAAATATTCTGCACTTAGCTGGCTGTACACAATCGAATCTTATCAAATTTAACCCGCACCCATAGAATATGACCAACTATTTACTTATGCTGACTGGGGACCATGGCATGGCTGATGGCGGTGGTCATGGCGGCAACACACCCGCCGAGACCTCAGTGCCACTCTACTTGTACAGCAATAACTGCAGCAAATATGCGTAAGTAAAGCTGACACTTCTTTCGTTCATGAATTAACAATGAATTACATCATTTTAGAGCGAGCACGAAGCGTTACAATCAAATTGATTTGACCCCAACGCTGGCTTTGCTGCTGTCCATTGAGATACCCACCATGTCCATTGGTTGCTTGATACCCGAGATGCTGCAAACATTATCGCTGGAGCATCAAATGTACGCCTTCTTCTACAATGCACATCATCTACTCAACAAGGCTCGTGTCAAGTTTGGACATGATAATGTTCGGCGTAGTGGTGAGAACCTCTACCTATGAAGCTTAATTTATTATACTCTATTTATAAATCATTTCCAGACTACTATCACTGGTATCAGGAGGCCACATTGTTGCACAAGCAGCTGTTGCAGCCTCTGCGCCTTGGGGATGGCAGCTTAGCTAGCCGCGTGCATTACGAGAATGCCAAGCTAAACTATTTGCGCGTGGCACGTGAGATTAGCGGCCAACTGTCCGAGTCACTAGTGAAATTCGATTACGGATTCATAGCCGTGGGACTGGCACTCACTACGGCGGTGCGTGATTACAAATCCTAGATTATATATTTTAACAAGCCCTTTCCTTACAGACCTCATTGCATATATTATTGAGCGTGTTATTCATCGATATGGCAACGGAGCAGTTGCAATTGTATCGCTTGAAAGTGGGTCAGCTGCTGCTCTCGCTGGCAATTGGGATTGCTCTGAATGTGGGCAGTCATTTGCTGGACTTTGTGCTGACCAGTTCCATGCTGCAGGGCCTATTATTGCTGTTACCCATTGTTGCCGCCGTTTACCTAACAATTGATGTTGCGCAGGCGCTGCTCAAGATTCTGTTGCCGCCTCTCTATTCGAGACACCTGAAGCTATCCATACCGCTGCCGGTGCCACTGCTGGTATGCTATGCCATACGCATCCTCACACTAGGCTCTTCGTCCTTCATTGAATTTGAATACAAGACCTGGTACTATCTGGGCAACACGCTGCTTATGCTCATCGCCTTGAAGACACTTCGACGTCGCATTACCAAAGCGAATGTGGAGCTGGATGGACGGCATTTGCACAAGATTGCCTCCACTTGCCTCTGGCAACAGCGCAAGATCTTCGTGGTGCTCATCCTGCTCATTCTGATGCGTTATCTCCACAGGCTAGCGGCCATTAAGAGTACACTGATGCTCTTCTCATTGCTGCTGTTTTGGGCGCGTCTGCGCAAGTTTACCGATACACCGCAGGCTGTTTTCAACGGCTTCGCATTCCTGCTGGTGTACTGCTTTCGTGGCCTGAATGGGCAGGTGCAGTTTTTCGAGCTGCCCCAATATATGGTGTAAGTTTTGTATATCTATTATGAGTCCAGTGATTGTTCTGAGATAAGAAACGCTCCCAATTAAGTAATATCATTTGAGATGAATCTATCAGATTGGAGAGTTTAACTGAGAGAGCAAGAGTAAGGAGATCGTGAGAAGGGCGAGTGCAAGAGAGAGTCGAGAAAGAGAAAGAGAGTGCATGCTTACAGAGAGACAAAGGGTAACGAGAAAGAGGGAACACAAATCTGAGAAGGATGCAAGTAAAATTGGAGAAATTGCAGGTATAGAAAAGAGAGTGAGAGTAAAAGTCGACGGAGAGAGAAAAATAGAGATATAGAATGCAAATTGAGACTGTTACTGGAGATAGTGAAAAGAAATAAAGTTCAACCAGGGAGAAAGAGAAAGAACAGTCAGATATCACAGAAAGATTGTAAATACAACTTTGAATATTAAAAATTTCGTAACGCAACAATTAAAAAAATACTTAAATCATCAATTGTACGCTGTAGAATTTCGTAGTTGACTTTAAAGTTGTGGAATTTAAATATTTTTTGTTTATTATTATTAATATAAATAAGCATTTGAAATTTTGTTTAGGACCTTTGCGAAACAAAATTGAAGCATACCAAACATGGATCACTCTTGAATTACAAAAAAAGTACAATCTTTAAATATATATATATTAATATATATATGTATACACTTGCAGAGGACGCTTTCTGTTGCCTGTGCTGGTGCTCTTCTGGTGCTGTCTGGCGCTGGTTCTGGTGCTTGGCTATAGGACAGCTCTGCCGCATCAGCGGGAAAGTGGACGCAGCTTGCTGGATGAGCAGCCGAGGAGCAATTTGCTGAAGTTGCTGCACACCAATTTGACCTGTTCGCTAATGCTGGTGGCGCTGCTGTACAAGGTGCAGAACGTCGTGCTGCTGCCCACGCTCCTCATCACGCTGGACGAGACGTACAAGCTGTGCGAGGCTTATGGGACAACAGCGCGCAAATTCTCGGTGCGATTGGTGCATGTCTACAAGACGATAATGACCATATTTGTGGCCAGAATGTTTTACTTCTATCAGGGCAACTCGAACAGTTTGTCAACGATTGATCTGACGCCCGGCTACATTGGCCAGACCAGCTACAATCCGATCATTGTCGGCTTCTTTGTCACGCTGAACACATACAGCGCTGAAATACATTCCTTCCTCTATCTAATTGTGCACACACTGCGTGCGGATCTGCGTAGTGTTGGCATCATGCAGCTGCAGCCCTCGTATGCCCGGGCAGCCCATTCCTTGGTTGCGCCTCTGTATGCGGCCCTGGTTCTGCTGCCGGCGGCTTTCTACCTCCTGCTTATGGTTGGCTTTCGCTATCATTTGTTCATCTATTCCGTCTTTTCACCGAAAGTGCTGTACGATTGTTATACTGTGTTTGTATTCTATTTGGTATTCCTAACAACGAGTTTGTACTTTAAATTGTTTAAACATGAGGCTTAAATATTAAATAATTTAAAAGCTTTAAAACCTAATCATCGGAATTATCATGAGTTCAGTTGCCCTCCACACGCAGCGCATAGTGAATGTCGTCGGGACTAACGTTGAGCAGTATCTTCTGGTAGAGATCATGTCGCGAGTGCTCGCTGATGATGAGACGCTCGGCGCCCAGCTTGGAGCAAAGTTGCAGGGCACGGCCGGGTGCTGGCAGTGCCAAGCCCATGAACGTCACAATTGTCTCCAGCTGCGTGTAAACGCCCATAAACGTAGTCTCCTCGACGCCGGTGCGTGTGACTTCGGCGGCAACGGCTTGCAGAAACATCTGCTCCAGCCGCGAACAGTTCTTGATGGCCTGCACTTTGGCGCTGGCAATCATTTCGGCCAGCGCTTGCTGCACATGCAGCATATTCACGCACTTTACTCCCGCCGGCTGCTCGGCGGTGTCGGCAATTTCTGTGGCACGACGGCAGATGTCCAAAGCACGACGCGCATCTCCCGAGACTGCGGCCACCTTGCGTGCCACCAGCTGCACAGCCTCACCCTTGAATGCCTCAGAGCCGCCCAGACGTGCGGTGACAATCTCCTGCAGCTGCTTGTGCGTATACGGCTGGAAAGTGAGACGCGTAAGACCCAGACGCGATGTGACCTTGCCTGAAAATTGAAGCGGATGGGATTAGCTACAGTTGCAGGCAAGTTGATTAATATTTCTTACCCATTAACAGGCGCTCGGGCAAATCCATTGTGTTGGCTATGGTGACCACCACTAGGCGGGCCGCCGATTTGGTAGGCCAATCGAGCAGATTGTAAACCACATCCTGACGCCGATTGCACAATATATCTAGCTCGTCCACGAGGAGCACGGTGGTCAAACGACGCGGCGCCGGCGTTGTGAAACGCTTATCCAGTAATGTGTGGGCGTGTTCCCAGGACACAGTTTTGCCCGTCAGCTGCTTGTAGATCTGCACATAAGCCTGTCGCGGCTCCGTTAGCCGCATACCATTAATCTCCAAGAAGTCAAAAGCTGGCAACTTATCCTCGGCCACCAGACGCTGCAGTGTACGGATGACGCCGGTGACAGTGGCCGTTTTTCCCGTGCCCGGCACACCGGATACGTACATACAGCCACCGCATTCATCCTGAATTTTGCCCTCCAGAAAGTTGTAGATATTGTCGAACTCCTTCTCGCGACACGGCAGACTTTTGGGCACGACCGACACATGCAACTGTTCGCGTGCCAGCTGCAACTGCGACTTGTGCTTGTCATTCACGGGCTGACGACGATGCTCCAGGCTGGGACTCAGCTCACCGGCACGTATTTTCTTTAGCTTCTGCGATGGTGTCAATGGAGCCGTCTCCTTCGGCTTGGTTGCCGATGCCTGCCTTGTGCCTGTGGTGCTCACGCGTCGCGAACGTGTCGGTGTCTTTTGGCTCGCCTTGCCTGGCGTGTAATCCGCGTCAGCCGTTTCATCAGTGAGCTTGGAACGACTGCGCTTCGGTGTCGATATGATGTCGTTGTCCTTGAAGATGCGCTGCTCCACAATATTAGACAGCTGAATGCTGCGTCTGGGCGTGCCATCAGCTGCATACCGAAAGAACGGATTTAATAAATAAACTAATTAAAGATTCATCAAGTAATTTTGGACTTACCCAATCGCGTTGTGGCTGACTTCAAAATGCTCTTGCGACGCGTGGAGGGTGTCAATTCGGTGCCCACGGGTTCCACTGGCTCCTTGGTCTTTTTGGTGGGCGTATGATAGATGTCGCCATTGGTAACACCCAGACGCTTTCGTCGCTGCGTATTTGGCGTATCTGTGACGTACGATTCGACTGCATCCAAGGGATCACGCTCACAATCAACCGATGCTAGACGCACCGATCTTCTGCGTTCCGAGATGCGCAGCTTGATTTTCATGTCATTCGAGGGCGTCTTGGGATCTGGAGTTTGCTGCACAATCGAATAGTTCAAGCATTCCGAGTCGGCAGTGCTGTCACCGCCCTTGTCCAGACTGAGATTTAGATTGCGACGAGCAGCCGATGCTCGTGATTTGGGTGTGGAGACTTTGGGATTCTTTTCGGTCAGTGGTGAGGCCATCAGATAGTTGGCATTGATCTCTGGCTCAACACCGTCGGCGGCGGCTGCATTGCTCAGGCTTTTCTTCTTCTCCGAAAGACGCACCACACTTCGACCACCCACAATTTTAATGGGCGACACTTTGTTCTCGCTATTGAAATAGTTGGCATTAGTGTTGACGTCCACAAACTCAACGGGCGCCTCACAGCCTGCCGCCATTGAGACGCGTCGGCGCGAGCTCGATTTGGGCTCGGAGACTCCATTTCGAACGGAGCGTCGTTTTTTGGCTGACTTTGGTTCATTATCTAAATGTATCTCGAGCGGAATCAACCGATATGCGTTGCTCACTTTTAGGAATTTGTAGCGTGTCACAAACATGAGACAGTTTGACGGCACTTTGCTCTTTTTAATTATCTGCTGAGCTGTGCTCTTCGAGTTGCTCTCCAAGACGAGACACTTGCGATAAATGGAGGCCAAGGCGACGTCGTTGTCGTAGGGACGATGCTCTTCAATTATTTCCAAGTCAAAATCAAAGGATAAGTCGTCCTCATCGAAATGCTTTTGCGGTATGGCCTGCGGGCGTGAGTACCACTGGACGATAGCACGGCAGGATTCTTTGTGGGTCATCTCCCGCAGTTCGTACAGATGCACAATCTTGGCGATGTCACAACCCTCGACGGTGTCCGGCTCAGATGCGTCCGCGTTGGCCACCAGTATGTAATCGCCCACACTTAACGTCAACGGTCCATAGACGCACTTCTTGTAGAAATACACGTTTTTGTGCTCCAAACTTTTGACGTATGTGTTCGGCTCGTGGCTGCCAATCCAAATGACCTGCTGACCAGCACCAATTGCATTTTCATTATTAACCATCACGATATGTGTATGTAGTCAAGTAAATATTCTTAGTCAGCTATTGGGCTGTGTTCTACTTTTAATCGGTTTTTTTCTCCCTCTTTTTGTGGTATACAACAATAAAAATCAGCAGTTTGCCGCGCTGAGCGTTGGTTTTGGCGCTAAAATTACATTTCAATCGAGCGCCCATCGATACACAAAACACGACGCAGCGACATATCGATATATTTTGGACAGCCCTGGTACGGAGCTTTTCCTGCACTTCGTAATTAATAAATAACGTTTTAGGAGCAAGGAGGCTCTATTGCAGCAGATTAAAAGATATATATTCTTTTTCTATATCAACAGTTACAGAGAAATTTCCAATAAATGCCTTATGTATGACAGCTAAAATTACCCAATACAGGAATTTCAAAACCACTTGGCGCGCTGACATTCAGGCGGAGAGGAAGAAGAAATATTTGAGCCGGTCTTAATTCAAAAATTTCAATTGAGCAGCGCCTCAAATTTTGTGCGCTTCGAAATTGAGATAAATAAATGGTTAAAATAATAATAATTGTTTTTGTAAAGTTTTATCTTCATAATTGTTAACGGCTAAACGGACAGCGAAGTCAGCTAAGGAATCATTTGCAGGTATCATACGAGAAACGGCGTAAATTTCAGTACAATAAGTGTGGAAAAGCTCATGCTCGCAAGACGAACTTTAATTGCTATATGCTTTCCCAGTCGCAGCAGCAGCGCCATTATGTCTGCCACATGAGCGATAAGACGTTAAGAAGCTGCCAGGAACTGACCCGCCACAAGTTGCGTCACCAGGCCGAGAAGAACTACAGCTGCATTAAATGCGATGTGAGATTTCGTCAGCATCCGAGACTGCATCACAAGAAGATAAGGCATTGGGGCTCATCAGATGATTGGTATTGGTATGCATATGCTTTTATTTCTGATTAGTGGTAGAAGAGTAATATTGTTTTGTTTGTTTTTGGTTTTTTGTTGAGTACGTAATGAGTACAAATGTCAAGCAAATCGAATCAAACATTTTGCATTGCATGCATACAATTTTTTTTGTTAGTTTTCAATTCTTTTATATATTTAACATTTATTATGAACGTTTTTATAATTTTATTTTTCGTTTCTATTTTATGGCCTGTGATTTTCTGTCCAATCAAATAAAACCGACAATGAAGCATATTATAAATGACTTGTTTTTGTTGTTATTGGGTGTAGGGTCTATTTATGTTTGTGAGTAATATAAGTACGCAAATCAAGTCGTAAAATTTGTTTGTGTGTGTTGCTTAAATTAAAATCAATCACAATCCATATATACATACAAAATATAATACTAAAAATGCTTACAAATTACTAAATAAATGAAATAAATCACTGGCTGCTTCCAACGGACAACGTATAAAACTTATTGAAAGCTGCTTGCAGACTAAACTCAGAGAGTACAAAATCAATGCTTTCTACAAATATTAAGCACATATTCATAGTTGAAGGGGGGAGTGGGTGGGGTTATTGGAGAACACTAAGTGCAAGTGTTTTTTTCCTTTTTTTGTGAGAGTAAAGCTAACAGATATTCATATAAGATGAGTTAATGCATAGAGAGTTGCCAACTGTTATCCGGTTATCTATTCAATTTCGTGGAAACGGAGAATGGCACGTCCGGGTATCTCGGAGTTGCACAGCTTCTGTATGACCTCGGCGGCCTGCTCGCATGGGAATACAGAATATGGTGGCGGCTCAATCTTTTTGTCTGCCACCAATTGCACCAGTTGCGCCAGCTGCTCCACCGTTCCATTCGATATTGGTACAATCTCCTGCTTATACTCATTGGTAAGCCGGGAGAATTTCGGCAAAAGCTTCTCGGCCACCTCCTCGCTGATAAGTATGACACCGCCTTTGGATAGGCAGTGCATTGAGCGATGCAGGCTGCGAGACGTTGTGCCAAAATCAATAACAACATCAATCGAACCTCCGCACACATCCCTGGTGCGCTCAATCAACTGGGCCTCGTACAGACCCTCATTCCACTGCACAACGTTAACACTGCAAACGAAAGAGGAACAACAATTTCCATTTAGTTTGGAGAATTTCATAGTTGTTTTAAGCAAACCGATCCTAACTCATGACTTTTTACAGAGCACCTAATCAATTCTACGCACAATTTGTTGTACTGTGTAAAATACTCACTTCTTGATCTCTGTAGCTAGACGAAAACCTTCGTCCCGGAGACTCGCCACTGTAATCTCCACATTGTGTGATGCAAAGTGATAGGATGCTATGCGAACTGCCCAGAGGGCCAGACCACCAGTGCCAACTATTAAAATGCGGCACTTCTTCTCGGGATCAGTAGCAGCACGCTGTTTGAGGATCTGTGTGACGACAGTCTGTGCCTGAAAGACGGCATTCATTGCGAGCAGTGCGCCGGTGGGCAGCATCGCTGCCTCCTCCATGGGCAGGTTGTCCGGTATGGGCACAATATGCGTCAGATCGGGCACCACCATCAGCTCAGCATAGCCGGCGGGAGTCTCATCGAATGGATACACAATGACACGCTGTCCAATGCGCAGGCCACAGTTGTTTGCCTCTGTAATCTCCGAGCCGAGTGACTCAATGACGCCAGCCACCTCGAAGCCCGGAAAGAAGGATCCCTCGCGAAAAGCGGACGATGATACCGATGAGATCGATGTCACCGACGGACAATAATCACTCAATTCCGATGAAACGGATGACATGCTGGTTATCGAATTGGATCGATCCCGGCGACGATAGCAGGCGCCGGCGCACACAATCTTGATGCGGGCGCCTTGTGCCGGTGTATCCTCAATGGGCACGAAAAAGTTAAAAACACAGTTCTTGTTACCCGGTCCGGGTGACTCAATTGACACTTGACGGCACAGTTTGTTCATATTGTGCGTGTTTTCGTGATGATCGTGATGATGATGTTCGGGATCTGCCGGCGGCAAGGCAGACGACAAGGAGAGTGGGTTAAGCGACAAAGAAGAGGTATCTGTTGTTGCGCTGTGAACAGAAAAATAAAAAGAACAAAAATTATATATCTTAATATAATATTATTAATATTATAAATACCAAAAATACAACAAGTTCTTATTCATAAAATATTCCAATACAAATTCGCATGTGCTACATAAAAAACAACATACATATATTCATCGAGAACGTGTACATATACAACTTATGTACATATAATATATATTATGTGTTCGCATCTCCCGAAATTATTTTGGGCGCGTTTTTATAATTTTTCATTTAGACGATGCTTATAAAGATCTAGAGGTCGTGGCAAGAGCAAGATGGTATATTGAAAGTCTCAGGATAGAAAGTCTTTTCTTAGATGTGCAAAGATTTCTTAAAGTACAGATAACATCCAAAATATTGTGTTGACTTAAGAAAACTTTTCTAATATTTGATCACAAGAAAATTAAACATTTTACATTGATTGTATAGCACTTAATTTCTTTGAACAAGTACGTAAGTATTTATCGTTTACATAGCTCGATTGGGAACAAGGTCATTTTGTTTGCGTTTCGTTTTGGAATCTCATTTGTTTTTCATTAATAAAAAAAAAACAAATATGAGGATTTTAGAGAGCCATGGCGTAATAATATACAATTGCTCTCAGTGACACTTAATTTCTATCTAACTGGCATAATAGATTCAATGCCAATTATAGTAACGTTAATTTTGATGTTGAGAATTTTTTACTTGTCAACTGGACACGACAATGTCCAAGTTAAATAGACAGGTGTGCTTTCATATAAATATACAATAGGGTTTAATTTATTAAGTCGATTCATTTTTCTTTATTGGCATTCGACATGTCAGCTTATATTAATATTGATCAATTCACTTGACTTAGTAATTAATTGTGTGATTGCCACTCGGCCTTTATTCAACCACTTGATAAAATCGAATCTGCGAATTGCAATTGAGTGAATTACTGTTATAAACTGATTAGATTATGCTGGCATTATTGGCATTATTATTAGCTAGTGGCATATTCAGTAAAAATCACATAATATTCTCACTTTAATTATTTTTATGAAAGCACTTGGCCAATTGAGCTAAAATCTATATTTGCATTACCTTATTGGCTTAATCAAGCTGTGCTGTTGACTGCAAATATCGACCGGCATTTTGCTATTTTTTTTCTTTTTCTTTTACTGTAGTCTTTTTGTAATTGTTTGTATTTGCTTTTAATTAGTGATTATACACATGCAAATGTTGTAAGCTTATTCACTTTGTTTGCTTAAGTTCTTTTTAACACTTTCTCAGATTTTTCTTTTCTATTTGCAGAGCAACTCGCTCCAACGTTGGACTTCTCGAGCGCACTTCCAAAGAACAACTAACATTTTTTCCACACGATGTACGCTCTAAAAAGCAAAATAAACCGGCAGCGCAGTAGCAGCGGAAGCGAAGCGTCGCGACGCTGTCAACACTGTGGTGGAATGAGTTGAAAAATCCAAAGCGCACACACACACACGCATACAGATATGTGTGTGTGTTAAGTAATACGTACGTGCACACAAAGCATGCACTGAGCGTGAACATCGAGATACTGATGTAAATTATATATTTAAAAACATCTCTAAACTGATGGATATCTGCACACATGTACAAACCTATATATGGTATGGAAAAAAGGGTGCTAGCAACAAACAACTTTGAAAGGCTTAGATCGTCTTTATAAAATTTCTGTCAGTGTAGAGAAACGGGTATGTTTTTGTTTATCTTCTGCTTGTATTCATTTGTTTGTCTGTATGTAGTAGCAGATCGAGCTAAAAAATCTGAGCAGTTGAGAAAAACAAAAAACAGCTATTGTCGATAAATAGAATATCCGTCTACTACACATATACATATCCATATATCTGGTTGAACGGCAGATTTATGATCAAAACAAACTAAGCGGCGACGCGTGGAAGTGTCGTCAAGCGGCCCTCAAATTGTTATTTTTAAAATGTTCAAATAATTTTGAAAAACGTTAGTATCTATATTTCAAAGTACAGTATTTTTATTGGAAATCGTGGAATTAGTCACGCTCTCAGCCAATACGTGGGGCATTGCATCAAATTAGAACACTCTATGAATTGATAATTATTATTTACAGTTTAAGTTTTGTTATTGATTACTTATTTCGTCCCAAAGCAAATAAACTACTTTTTAACCACATAAGCGCAGATTGTCCAGATATGTATGTACATATGTATATATGTCTATGTATAATTCTAGACGTGTACACGCAAATTGTTTGCTAAACGGGCGAGCAATGTTTGAATGAAAATGAGGGTCAACACAAGCACACCACAGCTACAACAGCCAAACACAACATGTGCGTGATGCGTGACTATCACGTATTGAACGCGTGCACAATCCACCAGCCGGTAACTGCTCTCTTTCTGTCGTCTCTCTATTCTGCTCTCTTTCAGTCGCTCTCTCTCTCTCTCTCTTTCTCGCTCTTGTTTATGTTCTCATCCTCACCCTCAACTCCTGTGTGTCTGAGAAAAAGCACGTTAACCGTTGGTAGCAAACTACTCGTGAAGTTATGGTACTGGTGCGCTAAAAACGGAATGCGGAGATAGAAAACGTAATGCACATACACGTATTCATACATACATATATATGTATATTTATATGTATATGCATACACATATACATATGCATAAGCATCTTCTTTTGTGCGTAAAACTGTCTTTGTTCTTTGTTGGCACACTTGATATATGTATGTATATACATACATATATACATACAATACATACACATATCCTGATAATACAAATATATGTGATAACAAATTTGGCAGCCTCAAGCAAAACAGATGAGGTCAGTTGTTGACTTTAGTCAATTGTCAACAGTCAAAACGTAAACACAATTCGTATTAATTATTTTGATTACGCATGTACACACTTTACTGCTATAAATTCTTTACACATCTCTCGTGCAGATTGAGTCAAGAAAAAAGGAAAGTGTAATAAAATTGGGGAATATTTACGACACATGCATTTATTTGTGTTTCTCAGATACACACACATAAACTTTAATTAAGCTCAATTTATGTTATCAATTAAGCTGCTCATTTTCAATAAATAATTAATAATGCCAATGGCAGCTCAGTGGATGGCTCAATTGTTTCTCTTCATCCAGTGAGATCAGCATACAAAGGTTCTCTACAAATGCTAAATAATTTATCTATTATTGATTGCAAAAACATTTGCAGTGGAATTCTCCACTCAATTGTATTGAACATGATTGATTCAATCAAATATTTAAATAATTGTGGCGCCAACGGGCCTAAAAAATGTGGTCCACTTGATTTTAATGGCATCTCCGAGTTCCTAGGAGGCGAACAACTCATTTGCAAGTCGTAGGAGAAAAATCTCACAAATTATGCAGCAATGAGACATAAAATTTTATTGTAATCGTGTGCATTTAACCGGAGTGAACTGTACACAGGCCAATGCTATTTATAGGTCCTTTGTGTTATTTTTGTTGTTTTTTATTTGCGATCAACAACAACGCAGCGTACACGTTTTGCGGATTGTGTTTATTGTTTTTGATATACACTTAATTTACAATTGTCGATTATACATGACGAGCATATATGTTTGCGTATATAACACAACAACTACTATTAGATTTTAAATTTGTTTTTCTTTTGTTTCCAAGAGGAGCGTTGTTCGGAGTGGCTGATAGGATGCCACGAGCAGTTAGTTTTATTTACAATGCACTCGATTGGCTATTGAAAGAATTGTTTATGCATGACAACGTTCTGATAAGAATTCAAATATAGCCACTGCAAATTATGTTCTGTTGGATGTACACACATCATATATAAGTCTGTATATTATACATTTATATGTACATATGTTTGTCCACGCAGACGCCCTGTTCTCGCATGCGAAACTCGTATTACGCAGTAAATGTGTCACGGCATCGATGCGTGCCTCTATACAGGATAGTCAAAATATACAAATTAAGCCCCAATATGTATATTATACATGCTGAACCACAACAAAAGCCACCTCTTCCAGATGTCTTAAAGAAATTGCGTAATGTGGTTTAATTAGCAAGCTTACCTTGTAAAAAATGTATAAATCGACCCAAATTGTAGTTACTGGTTTTGCCAGCTTTTTTAAATTTTCTTATTTATCAAAATAGTCAATGTCGCATTTGGTTTTTAAAATTTAAAAATTTTATTTTTACTTTAATATTAACTTCACACAAGTTTCGCTGGCGCTATACAAATGTAATCAATTTATGCGCTTGTTGTTTTGCTTGCAAATTCTTTTTGGCTGTTATAGAGCACTTTTGCCGAAAGGCATACAGCTTAGTGAAGGACACATTTGACTTTGAAGTCTCCTTTGCTAGATACAAACGAAATAGGCCATGTAAGTGTAAATATAAGAAACGAGTATGCGCACTTTTAGTTTTCAATGTTTGCATTTCAAAGTTAACAGTCAGTGGTTCTTCTCCGGTTTTACAACACAGACTTTTCATAGTGTTCGCAACACTGTAAACGAAATGTGCATCAAATCAGTTTGTATAACAAAAAGCTAGCTGCTATAAAAGCATGTCAAGTTTATTTTGCTCGCTTTAAAATTTTGTTTATTTTGTAAACATTCCGCAAACAGTAAATTAAGCAATAAAAAAATATAAAGTGAGATACAATTACGATATTCTAATGACAATGCGCAGAGCATCCCGATTGATTTTCGCCTGTTTCAGAATATGTCCTTCGACAAATATATCCGATTCGTATTGCAAATAATTGACGCACTTTTCCACATACAACAAGGACTCCTCCAGCATTTCCTTGGGCGACAGGTTGGTCTGCAGTGCAACGCGTCGCGTATGCTCGGCAAGTGCCGAGTGCAGCTCAAAGCAGAGCGTACCAAGCATACGAACCTCACCTAATTTTCACAAAATACAAACAAAATAGACATTCAATTAAACGCTGCGTATACGCAATGCAAGAAATTTTTACTTACAGGGCGCAAGTATTTCATAGAGTTGAATCAAATCTTTGGCATATTTCAGCTTAAGCTGCAGCTGCTCATCTGATAATATCATCAGCTCCTTCTGATCCTTGGCAATCAGCTGTACTTGCAGAATTTTCACCTCGCTCAGATGATAATGCTGCGGGGGCAACCATTTCTCATAGTGCTTCAGATATCTAAGTGTGTTAAACAATAAAAGGAATAATAATAAATTAAAATGATTGCAGCTATGTGTGCAGTTTAAGCTTGAGAAACTAACAGACAAATTAATTTCCTGTTTTTGTTCAGAGTAAACTTACTTGAAACCATTCTCCGCTGTTTTTTCCATATTCTGAATATCTTTGCTGGCGCGTTCCAAAATGCCGTCAATATATTTTCTCTGCACCTGTTTCTGGCAATCTAGGCAACTGAAACCGTAACAAAATTAAAACTAAATAGCTGATAAATATTATTATTTGTCAGAACACCAACCGCCAGCTGCCATTCCAGTCGTCCGCCTTGCTGGGCAATAGTTGACCCGTACACTTGCGATCCTCACACTTGATGGCGCTGTAGTTGGTGCCCAGTTCGGTGACGTCCAGGCAGCGTTCACAGGCACACTTGAAGAGCTTTGTCTGCATCAGGTGGCGCTGTCGATCGGCTGTGCCCCAAACGGCATCCGAGTAGCAAATGCTCAGATGTGAATTCTTCTTGATCTCCTTGGGTGCCCAAAGCACACAGTGACCATGCTTGTTGAAGCTCTTGGCCAGATTGGGCACACACGAGTTCTCCGTGAACGAGGCAGTATAGAAGACAGCCACATGTGGTGGATCCGATATGGGCACCTCATGGCCATTAATCTGCAGGATGCCCACGGCGCGCATTATTTCCTCCTCGCTGAATTTCTGCGTTCGAAAGAATCTGTGAAAGGTAAGTTTTTATATATAGGAATAACATTAAAAAATAATCTGTAATAATCTAATTTACTTGGGTATAAACTGTCCAATGCTGGCCAAGTCAGCCTTCCATTGATTGGAGCCACGTCGCGTCTGCTCCAACGATTCCAGCTGATTGAATTTCTCGGCATTTGCCGGATTTGTTGTGTTCAGCAGCAAACATCTCACAGTGCTGACGCAGGTGTACAACGGATGTGGTCCATTGAATTCGGTGACATTCACTTTCTGGCCACGCTCCTCTGTCAACTGACACTCGGCCCGGTGCTCGGTCAGCGATGGACACTCGGGTCCACACAGTGGCCAGCCGCACTTCTCGCAACTGATGTGATCATTCGCCTCGATGCAGTTCAAGCAGCCCATGCAGACCGGTGCCGAGATTTGTGCCGGTCCACGCATCAGTGGCGCCTCCTTCAGCACTATCTCGTAGGGCTTGATGTTACGTGTGGCAACCAAGTGGCGACCCAGCACCTCATTCTTCGCTATCTGCAAACGGCAGTAACATTTTTTGAGGTTAGAATTGAGATTAAGAGATTGCGATTTGATATTGTACCTTAAATGGATGGCAGTGGATCTTGTGCGCCTTCCAGTCCTCCTTTTGATGCTGCACCGAACAGTAGGCGACCTGGTTGCAATTGGAGCATTTGTTCTTCGTCGGAGTCTCACACACATGGCACGCATTCATTTTTTGGCCGTGGATGCCTCAAACGACGACACTTTCTAAAGGGCGGCACACTCGAATTATAGATATTTTCTTTGAGAGCACACACAGACACAGAGTAGTAGTAGGTGAGGTGCATGTGTTGGATGCACACACACGTTTTTCTTCTCCGTCTCACCGAGTCCACTAAGTGGGGCAAGAGCTCTGAGAGCATCAGCATCAGCATCAGCGTCAGCAGCGAACTGAGAACCAGGCACTATAAATAGACCCACACACAAATCATGTGGACCAATATGGTGCACACATACATATTTCGTTACCATTGGCATCTCGCATTTCTCCGCAACACAGCTGTTGGAAAAGTCGACATTTCAAACACAAAAATAATAATTCCGTTACAGTTAAACTGGATTCATTGGTAAATAATTCAAGTTCCAAGTAAAACATTATATACAAATATAAGAATTTCTAAAAGATATAAATTGGAATTTTAAATACATTAATTCTAAATTCCGAGTGACCACAGATAATTTTAAATTAAATGTAATGAACTTTAAAAAGCTAATTGGAACAAAAATATTATAAGTGGAATTTGTGATCTGTTTAAGATATTTTATTTTGTGTTCGCACCATTAAACATTTCCTACATTATTTACATTTGTTTGCTTTGTTTTTTGGGGGCAGGAAGGGAGTGAAGTGTAGAGGAGAGGAGAGGAGAGGAGGGGAGGGGTGGATGTGGAAATGAACACAAAACACAGAAGGTCCTACAATTGCGCTTATTGTATAACTCTCATTGTAACCAGCCATATCTCGTCTGTTTGGTATACTTTTTTTGTATAATAATATTGGTTTACATTTATAGATACAATTTGTATGTTATTTTTTTTTTTTTTTTTTTTTTACATAGTGATAGCCTCCACCCCAATTGAAACAGTGAGGTATTTAACTACATTTAATGCCTAAACTTTGATTTTGGGTCTAAACATCGGCCGCGTTTGACTCTCATCACAAAATGCATCCGCCGTCCGCCGTCTGCTGGCAATCATGGCTGTCACTACTGTTGCGGCTGTCGATCATCATATATCAGTCTCGTCATTGGCACCATTCGCCTCGTGCAGCATCACAAATTTCTGCAGTTTGACGTTGTTGTTCTCCTTGTTGTTGTTGTGATTGTGAGTGTGGTTTTGGTTGTGGTTGCTCTTGCGCAGCTTGTTCTTCTCGCGCTTCTTCTCCCGCGTGCCGTTCACCTGGAAATTGTCGCTTTGGAATGGTATGGTGTATTCATTTTGAAATGCAGTTCCGGCTGCTCTTTGATCCTTGTCCCTACTATTATCGTTGGCACATTCAGCTTCCCCCTCGGCGCCAGCATCCCCATGGGGATTGTAGTGACCTGATTGGCATTTTAAATATAATTATGAGCAGGAGAGCTAATTTAAAATGGAATGCAGTTCGGCTACTCACCCTTGGCGCCAAACATCTCCGTGTGCTGTTTGGCGGCATTGCGATTTCGGCCACGTTTACGCATATTAAGGCGCAACGCTGCAACCTTAATGGATTTGGCATGGGATCGGCTGCGTCGATTGCTGCTGTTCGTGGAGGTCGCACTGCCATTGGACAGCAACTCTGGCTTAATGGTGGGCATATCTGGCTGCTCAATTGGCATTGTCATTGGTATTGGCACTGGCAATGGGGATGAGGAAAGCGTGGGACTCTCGTTGTGGCTTCTGCCCAAATTACTTTCGGTATCCGAATGATTGTATGGATAGATATCTGTTGACACATCGTCCTCCTCATTCATCCCGTCGTCATCGTCCTGATCGATAATCTCAATTTCGTCCGCCTCATCATCGGATAGCGCACCCCTCAGTATTATTTCGGGTCCGCCGCCATAAATTCCATGAAGGAATCGCCAGAGTGGCGCATTCAATTGCGCATAATCGGAGCCAGCGCGAACACAACTGATGGCGGAGCCATTTAGCATACTGGTATCGGCAATGCCTTCATTGTTGATCGGTCCCGGCTCCTTGGTCGTAATGCCACGCAGGAATTGCTGCCACGCCCGTGTCCAGGGCATGGCAATCGCATAGATGGCCGACGAGTCCAACTCGCTTGGCTGCGCATTGTATTTGGTGAAGACGGCCAGTTCGTACTGCTGCCGCCGGCTTAGAGCATCGGCGGCACGCTTGCAAATATCGCATTCGAACATAATATTGACGGCCGGACCGCCGCCAAAGCGATTGTAGAGGAAATCCCACAGCGGTTGTGGAATGGGCACGGCAATTTGGCTAATTAGCGCCGCCTTGGAATGTAGAATACCGCCGTGGGGACAAAGCATCTCCTGGTTGTTAATCGGCCCCGGTTCCGCGAACGTTGCCAGTCGCGACAGCCACTCGCGTGTCACATAGAACTGGATGTCGCCCTCGTAGAGCGGATTCGATGTGGACAAATTGATGGCCTCCTCGCGCACAAGTTTCATTTGGGGATTGTGTTTTTGGTAGAATAGCACATAGGCCTGACAATTCTGCACCACATCGGGCGTCACCTCGGTCACATGCTGATCATCGAACTCGTACCAGCGACCATTGAGCGTATTCCGAGCATAGCACGTGTAGTGTCCGCCACCAACTGTGCCATGATGACAAATCACCGAGCATAGATTGTAGGTGGGCACCAGAGATTTGCACTCCTTGTGCTGATATGGACGCATATCGAATCCCTCCAGCGGAAAGTAGACATGCGACGAGATCTTCGAGCTGTACGAGAGATCGTGACGAAAGCGCTTTAAATGGATGCACAGTACCTCCGGCAAGTTGAGCACCCGCGAATATTTGATGCCCGTGCGCAATTTATTGCAACGTTCACAGCTAAAATTGTTTAGCAAATAAAAAGGTATAAACTTTCACTCGAGCACTACAAATTAAGCAACAACGCTCACCTGTACATATTGTCGCCCTTGAGCTCGTCCGCACTGAAGAAACTGGCCATGCAATCGTAGAGCGTGACGGACGGACCAAAGATCCATGAGCGCACCATGTTCCACATCCAGGCGAGCCAGCCTTCGTTGCTCCGGGCCGATGCCAGGTCGGCTGCATTCAGACTCTGCACACTGAGGCTGTGCGTCTGATGAAGCACATTGAGAAAATCTCTGGTGGGTATCGGCAGCGATAGATCCTGGAATGTTTCCTCGCGCGTCGAAATGCGATCACAGGTCAAACACTGCACCGAGGACAGCAGTTTGCCATCAAATACATCGCTAATTATTGAATGGGCCGCCTCCACCGACTTCGATTCCGATTGAACTGTCTTCGGGCTTTGTTGTTGTTGTTGTTGCTGCTGTTGTGAAGTGGATGCCTCTGAAAGTGGATTGCTGCTGCTGTTGCGATGCGGGGCCAAGTAGTACTCGGTGCTCACGAGCACCTCCGAAGAGTTCTCCGACAGACTGCTCTCGCACGTGTCGTACTCGCTCTCCGATGGCGTTGGCGAATGACGTTGTTTTGGCAGCGCATCCTCATCATCGGTTTCGTTTTCAGGCTGTTGTTGTTGCTGTGTTGCTGTTGTTGGTGTGCTTATTTGCTCCGTCAGCTCCTCGTGCAGCTGGTCCATAAAGCAGCGCAGAAATTCCTGTGTATCATGTTGCTGATAGCCACGGAACATCGGATGCACCGATCGAATCCCATACAAAATGCCACGCGGCGCCAGATAATCTGCAAAAATATCCCATTGAGCAGTTGGAGTGGAAGCGAAGATTGGGATCCACTTACCTTTTGGTTCGTCCACTTGCAGCCACATTTCCTGCATGAGACGCTGATAGCTTTTTGCCAGGCCGCCGGGCTTGGAGCGTGGCGTGCTCGCGATGTGCTCGACGAGATCGCTGCAGTTAATGAAATAATGCGTCACCGGAGACAAATTGCTGAGCGCCTGCAGCGCCGAATTCATGTAACACGTATTCGCGATATTCTGCAGACCGACGAGTCCCGTGCCGGAACCGGTGGCATCCTCCTCGATGCTCTCGTCGCGCTTGGCTAGCGAGTTGAGCGAGCAACTGAATAGCTTCTCCTTATCCTGGTCTCGCATGCTGTGACTTCTGTTACTCGTTGGCTATGCGATAAATATAAGAAAATTATCTTTTAATCAAATACAAAGAAAAAAATAGAAGTCATGTAATCGAGTTTCAAAGAGAATCTCACCTTTTGACCGAGGTCCAATTCGGGGGCGTTTTTAGTTTCGATGTGCGTGCATTGTTGTGTATTGTTGTATCTAAAACTCATTATATGATTGGCCTACGTTCGATTTGTGTTCCAATTTTAATTGAGAATTTGGATTATAGCTCGCTTTTTGGCCCTATTTTTATTTACTTTTTTTTGTTTCCTTGAACGCTGCAAGAGCGTATGTGACTACTGCATTGACCAGGTTCGGTGCTGGAAGACCGAAGCTTCCAGAGCATGTAAACCGATCGGTATTTGGATCCACGAGTCTTTAAAGGATGACAAATCCAAAATCGAAGAAATTGTTTTTTAGGCCCTCAGACAGTTCGCTCGAATTTGGAGATGGGCGATACTTGCGCTATTGTTACATTGTCACTATAAAATACTCGAAAGTAACGCGTCGAAATGGCGATAACAGGTAGCATATCGACAGTGAGACCCTAATTATGTACATTTAACATATCGCTTTGGGTGACTTGCAGACTGACCTTATTTATTGGTACAATAAACGTACATATATTTTTTATTGTTTGCAAATTCATAGGTTTGGGTTTGATAGAGTCTCTGTTAACCTTTAATCTAGTAATTTATGTTTGCACCCCTTTTGTAACAGAGAGTTAACATAAACTGGTAATTTTTGCATTAATTAGTTATGTTATTGTGGATATTTAATTGCATATCGGCCTACCGCCTCAATAGTTGGGCGCCTTATTTCAAAATGTAAATCAAATTCAGCAAAACAATGGTTCCTAAGCTGAAGAGATTGACGAAAATCATAATATGTCATTTATTTTGATTTATCAGAAGCTGGCAGCGTGTGTATAAATAATTTATTGTCTGTTGTTAATCGTTAGATAATTGTGAGTAATATCTCAACGACCTATCGGAAGACCTCCACAAATTTTGGAGAGCGCCTAAATTTAAAGTAATGATAATAATAAAAGAAATCTCTTAAAAATGTGTTGTTATTGAGAGAGCAAAAAATAACAGACAGAAGTGAATAATGTAAATTGCAAGAAATGAGGCAAGCACAGAAAAATGCTGATAATTTGTATACAGATTAATCTCCTACTGTATTGAACTATATAAACAAAAACACTGATAAGCTGGACAATAATAATATAAGCATTTGAGCTGGGTTTTACGTTGCGCCCAACAAAGTTGCCCATCATTCTAGAAACACACATTCAATGGCACTCATCGTCCAAATTTTAATGCTCGCTGCTTGGACGCTGACGGCGACTATTTGCAACGTTGCAGCAGGTAATAAATTCAAGTGCTTAACGCTTACAGCAAACTAATAATTCATAAATATATTTTTGATTGTGATATATTGCAGATTGCGTGACAGATCCTGAGTCGATGCTGTGCATTTTAGATCCCGACATGGGATGAGCACGAGTTTGTCATAATACTTACTAACTTACGCCTGAAGTGTATATGAATAAATAAAATATAAACAAAAAATGTAGTCCAATGTGCCAATCATTCATTCATGCGCTCGCTATGCGTTTCCACGCCCTCAAATTACCAAAAACTTTGACTATATATATTTGTATGTATGAATTTATGTATATATCAATATAATATATATTTATATTTTTTTTTGCCTACGTGTGGCAAATCGCATTAGACTCCCACTCGTAACTGAGAGAAGGACATGGGCTCCTCCGACATCGTGTGAGATTGTCCCAGCCACTTGTGGGTCACTGGCCACTGTTGTGTCTCGCTCTTCCGGCTGCGGGTCTGCGGGTCTGCCAGCCATGTCGAGATGGATGAATAAACATGAACAAGTTTTTCATTCTTGTTGCGAAAGCTGCCACACAAAAAGAAACAAAAAAAAGAAAAACCATATAAAAAGAAGACGTAGACAGACTGGCAAAGTAAAAGAAAAAGTAAAAGTTTACTGTGCCGTATCTGGCATCTGCTCCACGATTTTGCCTCATTTCAAATACATTAACGTTTTGACCTTAGCCAAAAAAAAAAATAAGAAATAAAAGAAAAATTTTCGCAGCCAGTCGAATTTAATTTGAAATTGTTGGCGGATTGTATAAATCACATAATTTGCTGTTGCAGATTGCATAGCTGCAGGCGCACCTCTCAAACTACGGTAAATGCAGGTAACAATCACACACACACACACACACATTCATACTCACACACACATACACTCTCGCACACACACACGCAACAAATTGCACAAGGTTAATATTCATCAAACAGCCAAATTGAATTTACGTAAGCCAAACGAATGTCAAAAAGGCGCCCACAACGTCAAGACCCAGTTTGACAGAGACAGAGACAGACAGAAAGAGAGAGAGAGTGAGTGGGGGGGGGGGGGGGAGAGGGAGAGCGATATGGAGTAGCGACAAGTGCAGAGCTTTGGAACATTGAACGTGTCAAGGTCAAGTTACAGTTACATCCATTGTCGACTTTTGTTTTCCTGTTGACGCCTGCCTTCGCCTAAGTGTGCGAGCAACAGGAACAACTTTTCATGTTTTTTTCTTCTTCGTTTTTTTTTTTTTAGCTTTTTTTTGGCACTACTCACGTCGTGTGTCTATGTGTGTGCGTGGGTGTGTGCGTGTGTGTTGTTAAAGTGCGCCAAGTCGTTAAATGAATTTCAGTGCTGCATTGAGTACACTTAGAGTAGCGGAGCCAAGTGGATGAGCACTGCGCACATTTTAGCCATGCGAGGGGGCCTTGAGAAGTTTTCAATAGAGAAATCAGGAGTTCTAGGATATTAAGAAAATGTTGGGATTTATTTGGTTATGGAAGTTTTATTTCTTTTGATCATTTTGTCGTAATGTATATAATAAAAAAATAAAAAATATTCTGCTTGGGCAATATCTTTGTATATTTTGTTGCGTTTCATATTTGAATATTTGTAATATATAAAAGTAGGCTAACTTTTTTACAACTGATCAAATAATAAAAACGATTATTTTGTTTGAATTAATAAATTATATTTTATTAATTGGAATATACTGACAGAAAAAACGTGATCCAAAATTATTTATTTATATTTGTTTATTGATGTATAAAAAGGAAATGTAAATTAAGTTAAAAATTAAACTCAAGTTACAAATTAAAAATTAGAAGATATTTATATATTTTCCTTTCAATTTCTTATGTATTTTAGAAAAATACATATAAATATATATTATATAAATATTAATGAATAAAGTAAAAAAAAATGGAGGAAGTATATCAACAACAATTATTGAGGATAATCTCAGTCTTGTTGCTGTATATTATAAAACTTTTAAAACCGCCTGTCATTGCGTTCTTTTTAATGGATTATATACTGTGAATTGGACACTTGACGGGGATTACAGGCAAGTGGCGCAGTCAAGTGAGGCAGACTGTCCTGTGAGGCAAGTGTGGCAGGCTGTGTTCTGTGTGTGAACGTCAAATGAAAGCCAAACAAGTTGATGTGCATGACTTAACTATAAACTACACTGCGCAACGTGAATGATAACAGTTCTTAAAGGCAAAGTTGAAGTTGCAACAAACGGTTGCACGTGTGCACAGTTCCATCAGCTGTGCATGCAAAATTCAAGCCGTTTTTTATCTTTGTCTTAGCCACCAATCTTGGTCATAAATTCGAATTCTAAAGTGCCAACAGCTACCGCCAGGTGGCGCTTTAATAGCACCAAAAAATGTGGCAGATGTTTGCTTGATGTTGTTGTTGCAACGTTGCCTAACAATGCAAATGCAGCGCTATTTCGGCAACGCGTGCACTTAGCAGCATCCGCATAAGGCTTGTAACTGTGCCACACACACACACACATACACACACACACACACAAAGTCTGTCAGTTGAAAGGAAAGCACAGCTGTGGCAAGGGGCAAGAAAGTGGAGGATGGGGGGTGGTTGGTTGCTTCGTAACTTTGGTCACAATGCAAAGTAGTGAAAACTTTGTGTTTTTTTTAGACGCTGTCAATTTTGTATTGCCCTTTGGCAGCAGGCCGTGGGACGTGGAGGCGTGGCAGCCAAAACGCTTTTTAAGGTTAGCGGGTCACGTGCTCTTCAGCCGTGACAAGCTGTACATATATATATGCACACACATATATATATATATATATATATATGTGGACACTTCTTGGCTGAAATCAGTGGCGCATCTTTTGCAGCAGCCAGCAGCGAATTGAATTGAAATGAAGCCAGGCGGCCGTGACACGACGCTCCAAATGCGTTGCCATAAATCAGGCATCAAAATTGACATTAATGTTGCCCCGAGAGAGAAAGAGATGGAGAGAGAGAGAGAGAGACAGGGACTGAATTCAATTCCGATGGCTTTCTTATTCTAGGCCAAGAGCTTTCAGCTTGTTGGCTTCCAATTCCGTGTCGTGTGCATCGATCACGCATGGAATATTTAAGTGACAATCTTTATCGCAGTGTCCTTACCTTTAAGCTCCAATCTGGCCCCCTAACCGCCCCCTTGTGGCTCTGGCACGTAGCAAATGCAAAACAAACACCCAAAAATGACAACTCACTAGCTGATTGCGTAATCTGTAATCTGTTGTTGTGGCAGCTGCCTCCAACACCTGTCGGCTGCGGGGTTGCAAGTTGTGTGTGTTTCAGAGTTTGAGCAGCTTTGTTTTGAGTGGTTGTTCTAATTCGCATTATTCAATACTTGGCTATAGATTGAAATTTCAAATATGTAAAGTATTATCAGACATGCAACATTTATGGCAACAACCCATTCTTCTTAACTGTGTAAGTTTTAAGGTTGACTGACTGAAGGTCAATATTGACTATTTATTTATTGATAAGCTGCAGATGAGAAAAAATAGCGAAAGCGGGCAAAACTAATGTCGTTTTACTGGATATTTTTGGAAATTTCCTTTTAATAATATATGTCTCAAATAATCAACAATCAGAGCCAAATCTGTTCACCATTCCAATTTTCGCTAGTTGTAATTAGCAAGCGGGCACTGTAGTAAATACTGACATGTATGTATGAAATGAAACTAGTAGCGTTAATTGGATTGGCGTGCTATGAACTATTGAGGCTGTGGTTAGCTGTGTATTTGGCGTCCCTAATTTAAGCTGTATCTGCATTTGATTCCAGTTTGCATTTGCGATTAATGTTGATTCTCTAACGCAGACAAACACATGAATATCTGCATGATATATTATGCGAACATTACATAAATTCAATTAATTACAAACTGCGGTTTATTTTTCACCACCTGCCGCAAAACACAAATTTACAAAATCCAACAATAAACAGTCAAGTGTATAATAAAATACTCTGTAAATGGTTAAAATGTCGTTATTAATTTGATAATTTGCTATTTTGGGTATTACAATCGAGTTTCATAAGGGAAAACTTTTTCGCTATCGCAAATTGGTGTATATTTAAATATTTTTAAAGGTTCAATTTTAGGTTAAAATAAAATGGCTTAAAGAAAATCTAGAAAAGGGAGCCTGACATCGATGTCATACTATGTTTGTTAAATTGTATTTGTTAAACGGAATAAATAACTTTGCTCCAGCTTGCAAAATTTATGGAAATATGCATTTAAGTTGAAGTAGAATATGTAAAAGAATTTTTTACTGACTGCACTTATATGCAAATGTACATTTTGACAACAACAGACAATTTCCGAAAAAATTCGTAGATAATATTTATAACGATTTATGTAGCATGCTTTTAAGAGCAATTAAAAATGTGCATAATTTTCAGCATAATGCAAAAGTTGATGCAAATTGATTTAAAAGCGGAGTTTAGTTCAAAGTTGAATATAAAGCGAATCAAAATATTTGTATTCTCAAACTCCCGAATACGTCAGTTAGTAGAACTTTGCTTTGGTAGGGTAGTAAAAACCGCAGACAAAAATAACTCGAAACCACATGGGATACAAAAACAACAACAACTACTGTTAACCACCATTTAGTGCGTTCAGTTGGTCAATGAAACGAGTGCTTTCAGCCTGTGCACATTTTATGTTTAGGCCTGGCCGAAAATCAAAAATAAAGGGTTCATCTCGAGGGCTTCACAGTATCGTTTTTTGGAGCGTCTTCTCATTACTATCAGACCTTTGGGGGATGAGAGCCATGCTATTCCCCAGTGCCTGTACATTCATTAAATTATCGACTCTATACGAAAATAAACCAGTCAAATTTACACCAATTGTCTGTCTCCCTCTCTCTCTCTCTGTGTGTGTGCGTGTTCAACATTTTTCAAAGCACAATTTTCAGCGCCCAAAAGCCATGACTCCATTTTGTCACACTTTATGGCAGCACTCAAATGATATGCTGCGAAATTTGCATGCCATTGAAGAGTGTTCAAAATAGGTGGGTTTTGGGGTCAGCGTGTTGCATATTTTGCACAGCTGTAAACCTTTCAGCATTCGGCTTTTAGTTTCTCGTGATATCATTATGAGCCAACAGCTCAGCAAAATATGCAAACATACCCAAACCACGTACACACTTTACGAAAAACATGTTATTAAAAGCGGATC